CCATGTACCTATATTTACGAATATTGTTACGTCTGAAGAATTCGTTGGTGATTTTTAGGTTGTTTAGTTGGCATAAATCAATCAGACGTTCTCCGATATCCTTTTGTTCATCCTCTCCAAATTTCCCACTATTTTATCGTTTTCTTGCGATTTTCGTTCTTCTTGCCCTTACTTTCTGTGTGTTAAGTTGCTAATTCCTAACGCCGCAACCCCCGTTTGGAGGACCTTTTCTTCAGCCGCCCATTTTGGATCAGTTTTCACGTTTGTCACGTTTCTAACAATCCTCTGTTCTTGGGACCGTTGACCAGTTTTCACCTGTACCCCAGGCAGGGACCTTCATAGGGTGCTATCAGCCGAGTCAGCTGAACCCTGGTTATTTTTAGAGGTGTTACTCCTCTATATATACTCTATGTATTCAGTTAAGTGACAAAAACGTGGTTTATCACTCGATCAAGAATTAATTGATACAGTTACCAATCACAATATTCACGTACCCTGTGGTACTTTTAATATATGACATTGTCATGCATGGCAGATGGGAAATGTAAAAAAATATTTCCAAAGAAATGTATTATTGATACTATTACCGATATTGACGGTTATACATTACATCGCCTCATAATCACTGAGAATGATGGTCAATCACATTTAAAATACGAATGGTAAATCTTACATACGAAGTTGAAATTCATAATCAGTGGGTGATACTATACTCACCATTTCTTTCAAAAACATACAATGCTTATATAAATGCAGAGTTTTGTAGTTCTGCCAAATTCATTAAGCACATTCGCTAGTTTAATAAAGGTAGTCACTTGACAGTAACTGAAGTACAAAATGTAGATAAAAACGACGAAATAACACGGTACCAGATGGGGAGATACATCAGTATCAGTAGCAACGAAGTCATCTGGTATATTTTTGTTTTCCCGTACACGAAAGAGACCGATTTGCCCAGCAGCATGTTTTGAAAATGGTCAACGTGTGAATTTCACTGAACAAAAACAACACTGAATTCTTCGTATTATGCCAAAAATCTGATGTTTTCGGCTAATTTGACATTCACGCTACTTTATATGGTATAAATAAAAGAAAAAATGAAACACGTAAACAAAAAGAATACCACCCAGCAATCACAGGGGTATTCAAAGCCAAAACATTGGGATGACTTTACACAATACATCCAAAACAACGTGAATGTTTTTTGCGTATTGTTGGTTAATATTCCAGGATCTATGTCTTTTCATTTATTGCGAACCATTAAGAGTACAGTGTTCAATACATATCAAGATGCATGCCGCCGGGTCATGCATCTATACGTCATCATCATATATGTCAACTATTTACAATTATTTTGACATCCTGTTATCCAACACAGTGATCGACTTTATGGGAAAAATACAAGAAATACATTACTGAAGATATACTGTACCGAATCAGACAGATAAAACAAAGTCCAAACATATAATATTTTCCAGAAATGAGTCTTCTGGAACCGGTAAGGCATTTTTGATATCGCTTATTCTTGCGAAGATACGATCGCAGAACAGTACATTCAACACTCAAGTTGTCATTAGACGTTCATAACAACCCAAATGCAATGTGAAACACAATGTGTAACATTAAAGTAAGAAGCGGAATGGTTGAAGTGATGCGAATGAGTTCAATTATTATCTAAGATGAATGTATCCTTCATCTAATTTACTTACCGTTACACGTCATTATCATTGACAGAGATCGAAGTTGACATAGTTGTCAAAGTATAAAAAAATCCTGAATCCATTTTAAATCAAATAGGTCACATAATTATTGCAAAAGTGGATTATACAACAAAACAAATTAATATTACACACACTAATAATAATAGTAATGAATAATACACACTAATTGTGTTCTAAAAAGAACAGATTTGATTAAATAGGTAAAAATATAAACCAAGAGGTATTCACTTTAAAAATCAAAATAATAAAGTACAAAAAGTGTCAACACCGCAACTGTCAAATAAGTGTTACCAATTTATGACAAGATATCACCTTCGTTCGATTACAGTTACAGTGTGTTCCGAACAAATGTTCTTCATAAAAACGCTTTATAATGCATTTATACAACTTAAATGAAACATATTATTGTGTACTTCTTTAAGTTAACATTAGTAGAAATCTTTAAATATTATTTTTACGCGCGTACAATAAAATATGTCTAGTGGCTGTAATGCCAGTGTACTCGGCAAAGTGATTCTAAAAAAGAACACACCTACCGCCTAAATATTTCGTGTTGGTATCATGTGACCTCACGAGCTATGACGCGGATGACGTGCAACGGTAAGTAAATTAGATGAAGTATATATGGCTTATAAACATTCACTCGAAGCATTACATAAAAGTATGCAAGATGCTGTTGCAATGAAGTATGCTATTCGGCGATGCTGTCTTGCTACTATCTGATGCCTTCCGACAGACATTACTGGTTATTCCTTATTCTACATACTCGGATGAGATTATTGCATGTTTTTATTTATAACAATATCTACCTGAAACGGTCGGTCCCCTACGATGCGAAGGTTCCAGAAACCGGTAGAATGAAGACCCGGTTGATTGACCTTCTAGTCTAGTCAAAGGAAATCGCCGGAACTCTCGAATAACGGCATATATAAATAGAAACCTTTTTGCAGAAAACAGTAAGTCAGATCGCGGAAGGTTTTTAAATGTAACGTTCGTATTTTAAATAAATTATCTAATTATTAGTGTAAGATAAATTAGTATAAATAAACTTTAAATTAAATTGTAAGTGTTATAAATATAGAACATTTGATAAATAATAAAGACAAATTAGAATAATAAAAATACAACAGTACAAATGCCAAATGATCTATCGGCACAAATATTTTCCAAACAATTGCAGGATATTGGCAACAGTAAACTAAAACTGCATTAAATACACAATGCATAAAACTTCTAGATAATCTATGCACTTTTGTCGAGCCAAAACATGGATTAATTGAAAGGGTCTTCCCGGCTATACTGAATAATAACTTGAATCATAATTGGCTCAGTGAGCACGCAATTTTGTGTGCTTTTGATAATACAAAATGTGTTACCAGGTGATCTCATATCCTTTAATAAATTAATCGACAGTATTAATAATAGTTAATGAAGACAAATCCGTAAATTATCCAACAGAATTTTTAAATTCTCTAGATATACCAGGGATGTCACCACACAATCTTCAGTTTAAAATTAGATCACCGATTATTCTAATACACAGTTTGAACCAACCCAGAATATGCAACGGCACACGTTTGATCATTAAAAGGATCACCGGAAATATTATTGAAGCAACCATTTTGACCAATGGTTTTAAATGAGAAATCGTACTGTTGCCCTGCATCCCAATGATACCCTCAGATACAACAATATAATTAAAAAATCTTCAATTCCCTCTTCGATTAGCATTTGCGATGACCATTAACAATCTCATTTTAACATTTCAATGTTCAATTCCGAGAAAGTCAACAAAAACACAATTTCGGCGATAACGGAAAAAGTAAATTACCGAATAATAATACCACTTTAGGCCACAAATAATAACATCAATCTAATGTTTTAATAAGTATGAAGAACTTAATAATATCTTCTTCTTCATGTACCATGTCCTTTCAGAACGTTGGTTACCATCATAGCTATTTTAATTTTATTCACTGCCACCCTAAATAGCATGCTTGTATCTACACCATACCAGTCTCGCAAGTTCTTCAACCATGAGGTTCTTCTTCGTCCTGGACTGCGTTTGCCTGCTATTTTTCCTTGCATGATGTTTTGTAGCAATCTATATTTGGGACCTCTCATTACATGTCCGAAATATTCCAGCTTTCTCTGCTTGATGCTTTTTATGATCTCAGTAGTCTTGCTGAGACGTTCTAGTATTGTGGAGTTACGAATCTTCTCCACCCAGGAAACTTTTAAAATTCTTCTATAGCACCACATTTCGAAAGCCTCAAGGCGATTTAGATCGATTTTATTCACAGTCCAGGACTCGACAGCATAAAGTAAGACCGAGAACACGTAGCAGCGAAGTAGGCGGATCCTTAATACCAATTTTAGGTCTCTGTTACATAACACCTTGGACATCCTTCTAAAAGCAGCTCTAGCCTGCTCTATTCTGGATCTAATTTCGCCGTGATTTTCTGCATTACAATTTAATTGCTGTCCAAGGTAGACGATTTTATCAACTTGCTCAAGTTTGATATTATTTACATATATAGACGGTTTTATATTCTGTTGTTTACTTATTACGAGTATTTTGGTTTTCCTTATGTTAAGATCCAGACCTGCCTCCCTACAACTCTCAACGACACTATCAAGTAGTGTTTGCAGATCTTCTTGACTAGAAGCTAGGAGTACTGTATCGTCCGCATATCGCAAATTATTGATGACTTCTCCGTTCACAAGTATTCCTTCTTGTTTTTCAGAAAGTGCTTTTCTGAAAATTCTTTCGGAGTAGACGTTAAAAAGCAGGGGTGACAAGAGGCATCCCTGCCGTACTCCTCTTTTAATATTGAGAGCTTGTGATTCCACACCATCTACTAAAACTGATGTTGTTTGATTCCAATATAAATTTGCAATTATTCGAACATCTCTGCCGTCCAAGCCAATGTCTTTTAGAGCTTCGATCAATATAGAGTGCTTAACACGATCAAATTCCTTTTGAAAGTCAATAAAACAACAGTATATGTCTACAGATATATCACGACATCTTTGAGCAAGTACGTTCATTCCAAACAGTGCCTCTCTCGTTCCAAATCCGTTACGGAAACCAAACTGAGTGGTTTGGTTTACCATTTTGGTTTACCATTAATAATATGGACTGAAAAATATGTAAGACAATTCTAACGATCAGAGAAAAAGTGGATTAATAAATAATAATACCACTCCACGTCATTTCCATATCCGAAAAGCTATCTAATATGTATGAAGAAACTAATAATAAAAAATGTGTCCTACCTTTTGTCCCACTGCTGACACAAGGAAACCTTTCACTTGCGAGAGAGCAGTTACTGGTCCCTTCTGATCTTTGGCGTAAATTTCCTTAAATTTGTTTTTGGTCAATGGCTGACCTGGTTCAGGTACTACTTCTATAATATCGTATATCAAAATCTAAAATTAAAAAAAATATATTATAAATGCATGCATACATGGATGAAATGGAAGGCAGTGTGGTACGTTATGCGACATAAAGATTTCAATAAAATTAAAAATAAATTATATAAAATCGATGTAAGACTAGTTATGATGTACGACACAATCTCTCTCCCTTGTCGTTTCCCCATTACTGAGGATCGTGATTTCTTCCAATATTCCTAATACTTTTTCTCCATTGGTCTGTATCTTCAGCTGCTCTGAGAGCCTCGAAGGATGAGTTTCCAGCTGAATTCTTAATTTGGTCGGACCATCTAGCTGGTGATCGTCCTTTTGATCTTCTGCCCAGAACGGGGACGACAAATACTAGACAGTTTAAAAAAAAGAATAATGCATGTTGAGAAAATGAGAATATTTAGACGAATGAGGAGAGTGACTAAAGGAAAATCGAGTGTTCTGGTCGAATTTCCTGGTGGGCGTCAAACCCTTGTGACAACCTGTCGAATTGGCTTACAGGATTTTAATTGTTGTAGGTTGAGATTCTTTATTTTGCCTCTTGTGGGGTGAAATTATACATACACTTTTCTTCACTAATTTATTAAATTAAATTAATACACAAACACTTGGTAACTTAAAAACTTTGCTCTTGTACCGAACAGGTGAGCGGGAGAGAGAAAGAACTAAACATAAATTTTTATGTAATGAGACTGTTAGAGCAAGGAAGCGGAAGGGATTTTTTATAAGGAAGCGAAAGGTATCTTAATGTCAGGGAATCACTTTTTACAACATAAGGTTATAAGTTTATAGTTGGTTTTCCAACATATTACAGTATACTCCCTCTATAATAAACAGCATTATTACGAGGTTTCGAATTTGGTTATACCGAGAGAAAATAAGATCCAAAAACGTGTTTTTTACGTTTTTAGCCGGCCGTGGTTATAAATAAATACCCTTTTTAACTGCCGCCCGCAATACACTTCTTTTTTTTTTCTTCTGAAACTACGTTTCAGTGTAGGGGTTTGACCATTCGCACCTAATAAACTACGTAAAGAGTTAAAAAACCTGACAAATAAAACAAATTTCACCAGAATCTCATTTCACGGTTGTTGTTGTCGTAGATGTTAATCGTTTGTTTTTTTTTTCGGTAAATCGAAAAAACTAAGTGCCGCAACTAATAAAGAGCTTGATAGTGCAATGGTCAAATGGTTTAACGTAAATAGGGTTGCGAATGTTCCAATAAGTGGACCACTGCTTCAAGAAAAAGCAATAGTTTTCGCAGGCGCTAGGTGGTGATGAGAATTTTAAAGCATCGAGTGTGTGGATAAGCAGTTTTAAGGCCAGGCACGAAATTCCGTGTGGAAAAATTTGCGGTGAAGCGAAGAGTGTTTCCAAAGAAGTCAGCGACAACTGGTTGAAGTCATGGATTACAATAAGACAAAATTACAGTGACGATAATGTTTTTAATGCCGACGACATGGGTCTTTTTTAAACTTACTCCAGATAAGACCCTCAAATTCAAAAATGAACGTTGTATAGGTGGCAAGCTATTAAAAGAAAGGGTAACTGTACTCTTGTGTGCCAACATGTCCGGTCCGAAAAAAGGAAGTTAGTCGTCATTGGGAAATCTCAAAAACCACGATGCTTCATAGGTGTGAATCAGCTTCCTGTCACATATAAATTTAATAAAAAAATCGTGAAAAAGAAAGATTCGTTAAATTGTTGACAATTGTACAGCTCATCCGAATGATTTAAAAAAATATTCAACTTCTTTTTTACCCCTAAATTGCACATCTGTTCTGCAACCGATGGATCAGGGCATCATAAGGTCCCTTAAAGTTCACTACAGAAAACTTTTAAGTGGATCCTGAATAATGCGAAAAACCGTAGTGACTCCCCTGTTGCTTTATTAGATGCCATAAATTTCATCCACAAATCATGGACACTCGTAGATAAAATAACCATCAGAAAATGTTTCTGGACTTAGGTACAAAACGAAGAAGATGAATATCCTGTAGCAGAGTTGTTGAGGTTACAACAGCAAGGTCAAGAACTATCCAAACTGAACAATGATGACGGGTTTGCTGAATTTATTGCCATTGATGATGACGTCATTGTTTGAGATCTACCGAAGAATAGTGAAATTATCGCGGAAGTAATAAATCCGCCGGAGGAGCGCGTTATCGTCACTGACGAAAGTGATGAAGATGGAGAAGACTATCACGGTGAATCTACGCAAGAAGGTCCTAATAGACAAGATGTGGAAAATGCTTTAAACGTTGTAAAAAACTTTATCCGAAGACAAAACGAAAATGAAGAAGCATACAACTGTTTCACATATGTATTTAGAAAATATAGATAGAATAATACTGGACCATTTAAAGCAGTCAAAAATGACAGACTTCTTCCAATTGCAGAAGCAATAGTTTATGATATCCCTGAAAATACGCTTTATACATTATGTAGTTGTAAAAAAATGTTAGTACAGATTTTTTGTTTTAACGCATAGTATCATTGACAATAAAAGTAAACAACTTTTTTTCAAAACGCCATTCAAACAGTACTTAGCATCTTAAATTGCTCCGAATGGCTTCACTATAGGAAGTTAATGTTTTATAAAACTACATACTCATATCATCATCAGCCCATAGTCGTCCACTGCTGAACATAGGCCTCCTCGAAAAGGAAGCTTATGGAGGCTTTTCGAGGAGTCATACATATTCATATGTATGCACAGTATTATTGCCTGTTATAACGAGGTAATTAGTCTGCCATTTCAGTTCTCGTTATAGAGGAAGTCTACTGTATAAGTTTATAGTTGGTTTTCCAACAGTGATAAAAAAAGGAAAATAAGAATGAATGTATTAGTGAAAGTGTAGGTTCAGTACCAATTAATGTCAAAAGAGAGAGCATAGCTCAAAACAAGACACGGTGAAAAACATGTCTTTTGAAAAATAAACAAGACAACCCCGGATAGGGATAAAGCCAAAGGGAATTATGATATAAGAAATTTCAAAATTACATTTATTTCATAGCGTATATTTTTCTTGAAGACAACTACACCGACGAAATCTCCATATAACGATGCATTTTGTCGTCAACATTTTTCAAAGTTTACTCGTACCAGTTATTTAAACAGGCAGTTGAGAGACATCCTTATAGAATAAAAATCAACGAGAAACTTCGTCGTCTTCTAGTGCTGACTCCGCTAATGATTTATTGGCTGACTATAATCATTGCAAATTTGTCTCTATCTTCTGCTTTTCTTAAAAGCGTCTGTGTGTTTAAGCCGGTCCAGAATATGTTTCAGTCAGGAATGGAAAACAACTTAATGTAATTAGATACGCGGACGGTACATTAATTCTGTCAGAAAGTTTTGCTCCAAATTCTGCTTGATCGTATTCACGAATTAGATGAGAAAATGGACATTAAAACAAACTCAAACGAAACCAAATTTTTAGTCTTTAGTCATCACCCACATGCAGCGCTTCAATTAAATGGAGTCTAAGTTGAAAAAGTTCACAAAATTACATATTTGGGAACTGTCATAACGGAACAACTAGATCCAGACATAAAAATAAAACCAAGAATAGCAATTACTAAAACTACTTTTATCAAAATGAAGACATTTCTTTATAATAATCATCTCAGATTAGAACTAAGACAAAGAATGGTTAAGTGCTCTATCTAGTGTACTTTTATATGGAGCAGAGGTGTGGACACTAAAAGTATCAAGACAGATGCTGAAGATACCTTGGACAACAAAAAAAAAACTAATCAGGACGTACTAAGGAGGGTCAACAAAGGTAGAGAATGTATTATCTGGGACATATAGTGAGGGGAAATGGATATAGAACACTACAACTGACCCATAAAGGCAAAATAGAAAGCTGTAGAGGTATAGAAAGAAAACAGGTTTCTTGGTTAAAAAAACATTTGCGAATGAACTCAGATATCAAATGCAATTATTTCATGTGGCAGAATGTCAGAAAGCCTTCGCAAACGTCGAATAATTCTGGTATGGCACGTGAAGAAGATATTTTTCGTTGACAATCAGATAATCTTATCTCAAAGAAATCAATTTAATGGTGCAATAATTTAACTAATAGTTTAATGTACACGTAATATTAAACTATTTCATCAATTTTTTTCAAAACTTCAATGAGTAGCTTCTTCCAAGTACAATAATAGTTGCAATTGCTCTAGTTTGTCTAATAATATTGTTTATCTTTCTACAAATATATATTATTTTCATATGGAATTTTTAGATAATTATGGTATCAATATTATTGTGATCGTTTACAAACACTATTAAAATTAATGAGACTATATTAACAACTATTCGACGATCACTATCATCAACTTACTCTTAAATCATATTCCCCTTTACAAGCCATCTCCCCTTAAAAGGTTGGCAATACCTTCGAAACCGCCGCAATAAACAAGTCAGCGGAATTAAATCCAAACCAAACAATAAATACGTCTCCTTCATCGACTACTTCTTTAAAACTTTCTTTTCATAATAATATCCTATGACATTTTTGCGGGGAGATCCTTTCGGATTGTTCCGGCACCACTTGCATCTTTAATCCATTTTCAGGTAGCTAGTATAGATGCACGCTAGCCCAGGGAGACCGACGGCTTGTTGGTGCTGAGAATCGAAATCAAGCGCTTTGGTTTAGAAGACCAGTATCTTGGCCTCTGAGCTACGACCACGACATTTTGTTATTCTTGCATTGTTACTTGAAGCAAGTTATAACGTTCAAAACCATCATACGGCCAATAGGCACATATTACACTGAAACATAGATCATGATAGAAAAAACAATAAACCTTTTTCGTATTTTTGAAAGCAAGATATTGCGAAGGATATTGTCATAAATTTGCGACAATGGTATATGAAGAAAAAGGTTCTACCACGAGTTATATCAATATTATAAAGAAACCTCTATAGCAAATTACGCAAAAATACAAAGAATGCACAGGATAGATCACCTTATAAGAATGATAATAACAGAACACCTAGTAGAATGCTTAGTGGAATTATGGTAGGACGTCGGCCAGTAGAAAGTGATAATCGATGCTAGAGAGATATTGAAAGTGAATAACTGAAGGAGAGCAGCCGAACTAAGGGATCTTTGAGCTGTAGTGCCACTGGAGAGAAAGAAGTTATAACTTTTGCCTCTCATGATATATCTTATATGTTGTAACTTTCTGACATTAATGTTATTTACAATTAAAACGTCCTTTATGTCCTTCTCAGCATTTCAACATTTGTGTCGATTTATCCCACATATTTTTAATCATTTTCTGTAGGAACATACTTTAAAGATCTCCAATATAAATTTAATGTCTTTTAATATCTAAGCTTCTACTCGGTATAATAACAAGGACAATTCATCACCTAAGCAGTCTTATGAATCATTGAGATGTCTCTGCTACAGAATAACGTTTTCATTTTATTGAACACATTCCGTATTAATTTATATTTGCAGACAACCTAGATGACCAACATATCTTATCCATATTAATACAGTCAATAATATGGACTCAATATAAATTTAAAGAAGACAAACCTCCTGATAATCAGCCAGAAAAAGATAACGGAAGATCAACTCACGTCAACCAAACCTCAGTAGTAACAGTGACGTACTACAACGACCTCGGTACCATAATAAATGGAACATGGACCAAAAACCAGAAGATTAGAGCGGGCATCGGATAAGGGCCTCCTTCAAGAGCCACAATCTCTCTCTCTGTAAGAATGTTGCGATACTATGTGACCAAAGGGACATTGGAGGTTTATATCATCATCATAATCATCCAGCCTCAAAAGATCTATGCTGAACATAGACCTCTTCCTCATGTCTTTTTAAATCGTTAGCCCATCGTGTAGATGGTCGACCGACAATTCTCTTGTCTTCCCTTGGTTTCCATTCCAATAAACTCTTTGTCCATCGCCGATCCGTCATTCTAGCTATATGTCCTGCCCATCTCAATTTAGTCTGGCTATGTTTTTGGTGACGTCAGTCACTTTGGTTCTTCTCCTGACTTCTTCATTTTTTATTTTGTCTTGCAGAGTTATTTCTAACATGAATCGCTCTATTTTTCTTTGTGTGACTTTTAGTTTGGTAGGCAAGGCTTGTGTTAAAGTAAGTGTTTCTGCTTCGTATGTCAACACTGAGAGGACGCATTGATCAAATACTTTTCTCTTCAGGTATGTGGGTAGCTCACTTTTAAAAGTTTCTCTCAGTTGTCCATATGCTGCCTAACCAAGACCGATTCTTCTCTTCAGTTGTGTGTCATTATTTTTGTTTTCAAGATGTTTATATATATATATATATATATATATATATATATATATATATATATATTTAAACCTACATTTTCTGTAGCCACAACGAGTTCCTGTACCATCTTCCTTGCCATCCGTAAGTCCTCAACTATTATGACTATATCATCGGCAAAACGTTAAGTTGTTTAGATATTCTCCATCTATTTTTATTCCCTTTGTCAGCCAATCCAAATTCTTAAAAGCATGTTCCAGCAGAGTATTAAAATGTTTAGGTAACATTGTCTTTGTCCTCATCTAACCCCCGCTCCATTTTTATGCGATTACTATTAATATGTAATTAAACAGTGGTTGTTGCCTGTAGATATATAATGTATAATAATTTTGTATACCTATAGTCTAGCCTGCATTCTTTACGCGAATTTAGTATTTTGCTCAGTTTAACTGTGTCAATGGCTTGTTGCTACATTGTTTATTTATAATAGAGGATATAGGACAGAAAGATAGCAAAGGAGAGGATGAAAGAGAATTTAAAACATCAAACAAAAACTGAAAAAACAAACAACGAGAAACTTATAGAAAAGTCAGGTAGTAAAGTAGAAAGGTATAATAGAGACAATTTTGATATATGCCCCTATATTAAACAGTTGTAAATAGTATTCAATTAGTTTTAATAGAAGAGGATATGAAAATATGTTATATTGCAAAACATATCGACATGCTTTTCGTTTTTGCCAAAGTATCACATGTTACATTTTTTCCCAAAATCAGGTTATCAGAGCCATAAGAATATGTAGTAATTTTTACACAATTTTATATGTCACTTTTACAGACACATATTATAATTGAACAATGTTACTTACCCTTCCTCTCGACGTAATGTCCTCCCCGTAATTATAATTCGTTCCAACTGCGATGTATCCCTTAAGACCAGAACGGGTACCTTCATAAGCAAGGGATACATTCTTTAAGCAGTTCACATGTTCCCATTCCTCCAAATCGAGTTTTGTATTTGGAATTATGTCCCATGAAACCGGAGAAAATAGACACAAACTGAATATTTCTTGACATGGATATGGAAATCTAGAAATATGTATTTTGAAAATTAGAAAATGTCAAATTCTTCAGGTTTGTACTAAATTAAGATGTATGTCTAAATAATATATATTTTTAGAATCTATGGAGATTCAAGTCACTGTAAATCCGAGTTTATTAAAAAGCTATCGGTCAAGGTTACCAATATACATATTCCACTAATACATCAACAATTGACCCATGTAAATCACCATCATTTTAATTTAATTGAGAATAATCCAAAAGTGAATACCCGACGAATTAGTCATGCTCTCCAAATTTTGCATACCACTATCTGGCAGACTTTAAACGAATAATCCGCATCCTTACCATATACAGGACTTACAAAGCTTGATACCTGGAAATCAAATACTCAGAATTGATTTTAGTAGGTGGATCACCCGAAATCCAAAAATTGTAAACAGATGTTTATTCACAGATAAAGCAAAATTCACGAAAGTTGGGGTATACAATCTCAGGATCTTACACGTTTGGGCAAATCAAAATCCATTTGCCACAGGACCATATATTTTACTTCCCATCCTAACCGGTAAAGTGTAGGTACTTGGATCTTTTAGAGAATATTTTACCAGTACTGCTAGATGAAGGAAGTATCGATACAGGTGGAATATACTTTCAAAATGATGTTGCCGCACTACATTACAGGCGCATAGTTGGAGATTTTTTATCCTACAATTTTCCCAATAAATCTATTTGTAGGCAGTCCCCATGCCTGGCCTTCACGATCATGTAATTTTGATCCTATGGATTATTATGTTTGGGGATATTGAAAATCCAAAATTAGTAACAATGAAATACTAAGTAGGGAAGTTGAACAATTACTTGATAATCGTTATTTTTCTGCAAATTTTCGCCGTTTTTTTATTAATTTTTAAGATACTTTTTTAATTAAAGTTATGTATTTCTGGTGGACTCTTTATTATTTAATTATTAAAGATAAATATTGATTATCAATTATTTGTCGCAGATAATAAAAAAAAACACTAAAATGTTAACATTATACCAATTTAGATTAAATAATGATATTAATTAAAATAAGTTGCATTCATTTTTTTTTTCTATTTCGAGCTCTCACAATTAACATAATTTCTGAATTCAATTGCAAAATTTTACCAGATTAAACATTTTGCCGAAAACTAAAAGCATACCATTAAATTTAGGTTTTCATCCTCTTTTCAAATGCAGAATCCATTTTTAAAAAATATAATATACAGAGTGTTAATTATCTGTCGGAATATTTTTACAAATTTTTTAATCCGGACCTGGATTTCTTATACTTATAAATAAATTATAGTGTGATTAAAAAGTTGTGAATTAAATAAGAAGTTGGCAAAGTAGATAAAACACCCGCAGTATTTTTCTTATTGATGAAGTAAGATCCATTACCTATGGGGTTTTTGAGATCGCCTAAGTGTTCCGTTTTTATAGTTAACGTATGTTACTTTCAAAACGAAACACCCTGTATATATAAAATCATAATTGGCTTAAGAATCCTTTGTGGATCTTGGCCTACACGCAGAGAAGTCGTCCGTCGATTTCTAGCAACTTGGAAAAAATTTTTGAGTTAACTATTCGTCAATATACGGTTGCTACAATACATGAGATAGTTATTATGCCTTTGTAGATACTTACAATCTTACTCGTATTTTTCGCCCTGTTCGGTTCTGCACTGATAAATTTTGAGGTGCTAGCTCATTTTATCATTTAATCTGATATTATATAGGACATCTTTTTTTTTTGATGTTACGTATATTAAAGTTAAAGTGTTTTGATAACTAAATTATTTGTAGTGAGCCCAGATATGTATGAACTATGCTAGCCTACTGCTTGATGTTTGGTATTTCCTTATGACGTTTTGGGTAGAGTCGGAATCTAAACACTGGTGCTACAGTAGGTGTAAATCGTGGGGGAGGCAGTATAACGTTTTCATTTTTTTACTCATAAGTGCCCCTAAATTTTTATTAACAACCTTTACAATCATTATAAATCTTATGTCTTTATAAATTTTATGTCATGTTCTTTGTTTGACTCTCTGATTTACTACTTCTGAGTTTCTGAATATTTTCTCCAATATGATGTTAAATAGAATACAGGATAAGACATCTCATTGACTTAGTATGCCTTTTCTAACATGAATTGTAACTGTTATTGAATTCGAATTCTGCTCAGCACTTTAGGTATTTCTTTTTATATCGGAATGATAAGTGTTAGAATATTAAACATTTTCGTTGTTTGGATTAGAAATTGTCAATTGATGTTGTCCTGTCTCAAATCAATTAAAAGATGGTGTGTATTTATTTTAAATTCACTAGTTCTATCTAGGATATTTCTCAATACGAAAATCTGATCTATGTACAGTCGATATCAAGTTTATATAAATGTGAATAAATATACCAAAACAATTTTTAATTGAAGGTGATTAATTGGTGACATCATACTTAAAGCGACGAATCCATATTCCAGTTATTAAGTTTGCAGAGGCGTACCAAAATAATATTTTAATTATTTATTTAAACACAAAGTAATTACGTAAAAATTAAATCTAAGACCGATATAATTATTAAATTATCATGTGTGTTTTGACAGGTATCTTATAGTTGTCTCACAAAATAAAGTAAAATTGTATTGTTATTATATAGTGTCTAATACTAATAGTACTTGAAAAAACAGAAAACTTTGCAAAATAGATATTTTTTCATTAGACTAAACAATCTGAAACTTTAACATACGATCTTGTCAGTACATTACATTCTTTATTTATAGAATTGCTGAGTGCATTAAACGTTACATTTGTTTTTTTTAACTTGATTTGAAAGTTTCCTTGTGTTTATCTGTTTTATATTAAATTATGATATTCCTCTGAACCACACATCAAAACGTCCAAAGAAAAAGAACCAGACAAAAATAATAAATCCAAATTTGCCAGAAGTTGAGCAAAAAGAGATACTGAGCCGATATATGAGCCGACATAGATTTCGTTTAATCAAACATGAAGAGAAGATAATAGGGAAAAAACGAAGAAACCGCTACAGAAATCAGTGTCAAACTTTGTACATGGACGTGAATCTTAATTTGTTTTAACAGATGAAACTAGATTCGACAATATTGTCCACATTATAAAAAGAGATGATAAAAATTTCGGATATTCAAAAGAAATACTATTTAATTATGTAAAAGTGTAGAGTGCATCTACACCCCAAATATTACGAAAATTTTCATCTTAAAATTTAATTTACATTTAAGATACAATATATTCCTTTATTAAAAATTATACCCGTATTCGGCCAAAGGTGCGTATACAGGGTGTTTCAAAAAAAGGTAACCCCGTCTCTAGGGTAGGTAAAAAACTGAAAAATAATTGGGGTTTGCTCAGTAAAAAAATTTTGTAACGCCATCCGTTTTCAAGATACAGGGCGTTGAAGAAAAAAAATTTACGCATTTTTTACGATTTTGCCGAAACTACTGGCAACATTGTAATGCAATTTTATACGAATATGTTTTGGAAGCTGATACATCCCATGAATTTGTTTTTATATCTGATTCTCATAGAGGTCGCTAGTTACACGGATCGTTCTAAATATTAGTCAATATAACTTTTTAAGAGTATAATTAATTTAATTATTATAAAAATACATAATTTAATTAATTTATGTATTTTTAATTCAAGCTGATAAATGAATTCTCAAATTTCTCTTTGTTTATTGCCTCGGCCATTAATGGGTTAATGTTATAAAAAGAATAAACAGTTTATTCTTTACTTACCTCATAAACTATTTTAAAGTTAATAATAAAAGTCTATTTAATAAATATATTCATAAGTAATAGAATAGATCAAACCTATGCACGTACACTTCACTAGACATATTTTATTATATACGCGTAGAAATAATATTTAAAAATTTCTATTAATGTTAACTTAAAGAAATACACAATATGTTTCATTTAATTTGTATAAATGCATTATAAAGCGTTTTTCTGAAGAACATTTGTTCGGAACACACTGTAACTGTAATCGAACGAAGGTGAAATTTTGACATAAATTGGTAACACTTATTTGACAGTTGCGGTGTTGACACTTTTTGTACTTTATTATTTTGAATTTTAAAGTGAATACCTCTTGTTTTATATTTTTACCTATTTAATAAAATCTGTTCTTTTTAGAACAAAATTAGTGTGTTTTATTTCAAAAATGTCACGAAATAATTTAAATAGTCGTTGTAAAGAGATGGTAATACTTTTGCAACAATTATGTGATCTATTTGATTTAAACTAGAGTCAGGATTTTTTTATACTTTGGCAACTATGTCAACTTCGATCTCTAGCGTAGATAATGACGTGCATCGTTATGTAACTTAGATGAAGTATATATAATGTGGAACGACTCACGGTTCGTAGACTTACTACGGTTGCCTCTTCCGACTGGGGTGGGGATGCTTGAGTTACGTCACAGGAGTACACAAGAATACAAAACCCATTTATTCGGGATTGAAACTGAATGTAGAGGGCAGGTCGATTGCAGTGTCATGGCCGATATAAATGGTATAAACAAAAACAAACATAACATTCGAATATTTACCATTGCTTTTCCATGTTTAGTTTGGTTTAAGACGAGTTATTTGTATCATTTAATAATGGAAATTAACCTTAATGATATATTTGAGTATTGTGGTGAAGCAAAGAGTCCATTGATTGAAGGGGAAGCAGTTTTCAAGTGATGAATTCCTAAATTTTAACTTTAATGTTTCGAACTGGCTTGTGTATTGATGATGATGAATCCTATTTTGTGTATACCTGGGAACCCAGAATATAATATTCTGTGTAATGTTTGCCTTAACGTATATATACATTATTATACCTTATGTTTTTAATATTTTAATTTTTATTTTATACTATTTTTTAACATATGTAAGTACTTTATTGTATATTAACATAAATAAATAACTTTAACTTGGTTTTATTGTAAAATAGTTCATTTGATTACATGAAATCAACCTACTTTATTTATAAAACATTTTTGTTTTGATACATCCATCCAATCACAGGGCTGAATGTTAAGATTCAAATTACGTCACAGGAGTACAATCCGGCTTAATGTTCATTGGTTAGGCGGAAGAGGCAACCGTAGTAAGTCTAGGAACCGTGGGAACGACTAAACTATTTCCCTCATTTCCATCCAAGTAACTTGTCCAACTATACGCTCGTGAATCGCACCGGTATGCAGAATTTATATTGTTACGAGGGCAAATTTTATGAAACTATCCTACTTTTCACTTATTCACATTGGCGAAGTATACACAATAAAAATGACCCCGGTAAGAATTTACTTTTTAAACACAACATTGTTGCCGTTAGCTCTCAGTTCAATTTGTAGATAAGTCACGTTTAATTGAAAATTGTCCAAGTTAAAAATAAAACATACATGCACCATGAGGTTTAAAAATCTGAATCAAGGTCTACTTTCTACTTAAAATATTAAAAATGTATGCCAGTACTAAAGTACACGGCTTATTCTCAAAAATAGTGCTAAAGGCAAAATAATTACCTATCGCCTTTCTCTTCAATCGACAGTTCCTTATCTTCACCATTGAACTTGTAATACTGATTTGATGGTTCTGCAATACTCGTTACCAGGCAATAGGTTTTAGATTCCAAGTGGTATGTTACAAAGTGTGGGGTACATCTTAACGGTACTTTTCTTACAGGCCAAGGAGCATCGTAAGTTAAATGTGTTGGTAACACACCGATTCTAAGTTCTGACTGAAATTTAAAGAGAAAATATCTGTTAATAAACTTTAACACGAAGCATGAATCTTTATGTTTTGTGTTGTGGTTTGTGATATTGACTGCGTTCACCTAATCATATTTGACTTTGATTCTTAAAGAAAAGCAAGAAAATTAATAACAAAATAAAAAATGTTTATTATGAAATTCGTTAACTATCTTAGTTACATGTTACTATTAATTTCATATACTTTTTTCGCATTTATTAAACATTAAAAATTAATTTTTTGCGCATTTTTCTTATTTTTTTTATCTTTTCTTAATGTTGTTTGGTAATTTTTTTATCATTAAAATGATTTTCTTTTTAAATAAGTGAAAACTGTTAGAGATTATTTTAGAACACAGTAAACTTTCACCTCAATTTACCGTAAAAAATACATAATAAAATAAAACATTTTGCTAACAACCTAACTACCCAAAATTAATTCCAATTGACGCCAAAAATCTTTTTATTAAAATACCTTTTAGACCATAATATTACAAATCCAATCATTAATAATCAAATATATACAAATACTAGTGCAGGAGTTATAATGGGTAATCCTCTAAGACCATTGCTATCAGATATTTTTATGGACCATCGTAGATGGTACGTAGACGATGTACTGGTATGTTTTACAGGAACTAACAGACACATTGACCAATTCTTATCGTATATTAATTCACTGCATAGTCATATTGAATTCACAATAGAAACAAAACAGAATCAATCCATAAATTTTTTAGATTTAAAAATTATCAGACTTAAAAACAAATATGAGTTCTCCGTATTTCATAAACCTACCCATACTGACACAACTATACACAATTCACCATCCCATCCTACACAACATAAATTGGCTTTCCACCATAGCATGTTACATAGATTAATAAAAATTTCCCATGACAAAATTAACATCGAGATAGAACTGAATATCATTAAGCAAATAGCAGTAAACAATGGGTACAACGAACACACAATAAATAAAATTTAAAATCAAAAACTACATAAGAAAGCCCTGAAATTAGTATTTCCACCACAAGAAAAAAAAAACAGTACCTTCTGCTCGATTACATATACAGGCAAGATATCAACAAAAATAGATAAACACATAAAAAAGAAAGGAATAACATTAGCTTTTAGAATAAACAACAACTTACACAGCGGTGTATACGAACTTAAATGTGGCGACTACCCAAAAACTTACATCGGTCAAACTGGTAGAAATTTTATCAAACGTATAGCAGAACATAAAAGGGCTTTCAATAATAGAAAAACATACTCTATATACGCACTTCACCTTCTTCTTCTTCACCACTTCTACTAATAGGAATCATTCTTTTAATGACGAATTTCAAATTCAAAATAAAAGCATTAAGCTATCTTTATTAGAATCTATGGAAATCGATAAATTAAAAAATACATATATAATTTTGAATAACCAACTTGAGACAAACAGTTCTCCCCTCCTCAACTTATTCAGTTAAAGACTATAAAGTGTAAACACAATACATACCAAAAATATATCACGTGCCATACAGCCGAAACAGCTATAGTAATAATAATTTAAAATGAATTTTGTGGAAGTGTTGAAAACAAAAGTTTTCAGTGTTTTACTGTCCGATTGTCTTTTTTTTTATTTTTTTTTTAATTCAATCAATCAATTTATTACGTGCAAGTTTGGTTTTATAAAACATTTTCTTTTATAAATTATTATTTCAAATTCTTATGTATTTGAAACTACCAACACATGAAGGTTGATTTATTTTACTATAAACTTCATTTTAATAATTCCTTCCATCAAGATAATGATCTTTATTCTATTACAATTTTATATAATTTGTTCAATTGCGCCATATTATAAAAACTCGTAGTTTGGGGAATTTACAATTTTTAATTTAAATAAGTGGGAACGTGCCAAAGAATGATTAAAATCTAATTCTACAGATAATTCTGATGCATCTTTTTTTGCAATAAAATTAGAGAACCGCGTTTTTAAAAACTATTATAAAAAATCCTTTGGTTTATATGTATGTGTGGATAAGTTTGCCCCACGATGTTTCGGCATCGCTATGTACTTTTCCTTCCAGTATAACTTGAAGTAATTCATATCTCTCGCCTCTCAACACGTGACCCAAGTATTGCATTGTCCTCTCTTTGATTATTCTTAGTAATTCTTTTTGTTTACGACATGCGACGAAGTAAATCAACATTAGTAACTCTTTGTACCCATGGAATTCTCAAAATTCGTCTGTATATATACATCTCAAAGGCATCTATTCTTTTTTCTATTTCACAGTCCATTGTCCAACTTTCACAGCCATACAGTAATACAAAAAAAAGTAACATCTGATCATTCGGATTCTAAGCTGCAGACTAAGGTCTGATCTTGTAAAAATGTTTTCCTTGCTTGTTCGATTCTTGATAGGATTTCTTTATCTACTATTTATTACTATTTATGTTTACTCCCAAATATTTTATGGAATTTACCTGTTCTATTATTTGACCCTTGGTATTCGCTCCGTGCGTGACTGACGCGACACCTACTGCCTTCATCTGACAATTTTGGAGTCCCAATTTTCAGGTTAAACATATGACTATGTTTGACATTGTTAAATACATGCGAAATTGACAATTATTAATAAATTAGTTTTTTAACTATATTTTTTCAGTGTATCTTCAAAATTCATGTAGTATTAAAAACTTAATTTTTCAAAATTCATCATAATATATCTTTTCAACTCCAAACGGAAAAGAAAGGGGAAAATCTAGTACTGGCAAATCAAGTTTTTCACGCAAAAGAGCATATAATTAAAAACAATAATGGTAAAAGTTATGATATAAAAGCTAAAGTCATCTGCAGTTAGCTTGAAGCCTTATCAAATATCATTCAAGGTAAATTATTTAAATTTTTCCTATTCCAATTGCATAAAAATGAAATTATGTGATATTTACTTTTTCATATTAATAGCACGAATTCATCTTTTTCTTTTCTCTAATTTATATGCAATCTTTGGGAACCTATAAAAACTACACTCACTGTTTTTGCTATTATTAGCACAATTAAATACGCAACATGTATTTGCATACATTTTTGATAAAATTTATGCGTAAAAATATTTTGTCCAATATTCCAATTTTGTCATATTTCGCCGCTAGGCACGCTGGCATCGTTTTAATGTACCCCTACCATGGTCACGCACCGTAGACCGTAGTAGACCGAACATTTCGCTGGGGTGAACTACCGCATTTATTATATTTTGTAGTTCTTGTGTGTTGCTTGCTATTAAGACGGTATCATCAGCATATATGATGTTGTCTATGCTGATTCCGTTAATCTTAATTCCGCTTTTGACCTCGTCTAATGCTTCTTTGAATATAGACTCCGAATTCAAATTAAACAGTAGCGGTGATAAGACGCAACTAGATCCTCGTCGGATTTTTATATCTTCGGATGTTTGCTGCCAGTATACTTCTGAGATATTAGCAAGTCTTGTTCGTGAACTCCAGTTGTTCTCAGAATTTCGATCATCTTTTGATGGTTAATGCAGCCAAATGCTTTTCGATAGTCAATAAAACATGCATAAACATCTACTTCATATCTCTGCATGGTTGCGTTAACACATTTAAAGCAAAAAGAGCCTCTCGTGTTCCCAATCCGTTTCGAAATCCGAATTGATTGTCACTCATCTGGAACTCGCACTTCTTGTAAATTCGTGTATGGATAATTCTGAGAAAAGTTTTAAGGACATGAGACATCAAGCTTAATATTCCATAATCATAGCATTATGACGAATTCGATTTTTTGGTAATGCTACGAATGTTGATTTATTTTATTAAGTCTAGGCTTTTACTTTCGTTAAGTGCAATTAGTTTTAGCATTTCGACATTGATATTGTCTGGACCGGTGGCTTTTCCATCTTTCTGAGATTTTACTGCATGAATCACTTCTTCTTGGGTTATTTATGGGCCTTTTTCATTTATTCGATTATCTGTGGATGGTAGAAAACAAGGTCTATCGTCGTCAAAAAGAGTTTGTATGTATTCTTTTCATCTCTTTAGTTTGTCTTCTGTACCCATAATTATTTCGTTATTATTATTTTTTAATATTGTTCCTTGTCTCTTTTTGTGTCTACCTGTCATTTCTCATCAACATCAACTGCCAGTGTAACCCAAAAAAGAAATCCTATCAAGAATCGAACAAGCGAGGAAAAAACTCATGAACATGAAAACATTTTTTATTAGATCAGACCTCAGAAAAAAGAATAGATGCTTTTGAAATGTAGATATAGAGAATTCCATGGGTACAAAAAGTTACCAACGGTGAGGTACTTCGGCGCATGAGTAAACAAAAAAATTACTTAGCATAATCAAAGAGAGAAAAATATAATACTTGGGTCATGTGTTGAGAGGTGAAAGATTATTAGTGTTGAGAGGCGAATTACTCCCAATTATATTTGAAGGTAAAGTACAGGGCAAAAGATCAGTAGGAAGACGCCAGAACTCGTGGCTGAAAGACTTGAGGAGATGGTTCGACCGCTCATCCGCAGAAATCGTTCACGCAGCAGTTTCCAAAACTACAATATTTTGCCATTTGGATCGCCAACCTTAGAAAGGAGACGGCACAATAAGAAGAAAAATAAACCGACAACTCTTCTCTTACTCTTACTTTGAAGTTATACTTCTATACGCGCGTTGAACGTTGGAAATTTGTACGGGAGTGAATCGACAAAACCATTACATTATGTAATATATAGACAAGAGAGAGACAGAAGATTTATTTTCTCTCTCTTTCTCTCTCGATATATTATTATTTTATATTAATTCGGTAGATATATACATTTGGCCAACGTCTTTTACAAATAAATATTCTTCCTAGAACTTCTATGGTTCGTAATAACCTTTCCGTTTTTGGAATACAATAAATAAATAAACACAAACACAAAATACAACCAAAAAACTAACATCTTAAATAATATAAATATAAATAAGCGCGGTATGAGGGAATATATATTTTTAATTATTATGTTCTGATTTTTGTCACCTTGGTTTTAAAAATGAAAGAATGGAGGAAACATATCTTTCTTAATATTGTTTCGCTAATTTTATAGATAGATAGAATTTTATAGATAATTTATAGATTAAATTTCTTTTGTATATGTTTATATGTATGGAGATAAATTTCAAAAAAGGTAGATTTTATTTTTAAACTATGATTTTTTGGCATATATATGATACTACTGACGTTATCCATCTGGGAAGAAAGAGTTATTCTTTCACCTAGAGTTAATTTAATATGATAAATAATATATTAATTTCTCAATGGGCCCATTTAAAAGTATCTTACAAAATGGAGACAACATGCTACGAATAAAATTGAGGCTTAGTTCAGTTACCTAAAAATTTAGTAATTCAAGTTTTAAGGTTTAGAAAAGAGTTGTTTGGGTGGGACTCATTTCGTTTTTGAAGTTATACTTCTATATGCGCGTTCGACGTTGGAAATGTGTACGAGAGTGAAGTAAGATATATTTTTTTGTATTCAACTACTTTCATATATATATATATATATATATATATATATATATATATATATATATATATGACAATAAAAATACAAATTTTCATCAATATATTGATTCAATCCTTCATTTACTATACTCCTACTACAACTCAAATGTTGTTTATATACAGCAAACGATGCACCAAATACCTATATACCTAATTCTGTTTCTCTTTCTGCTATCTCTTACCAACAGCATTACATATGTAATGATTGTGCAGATTGACTCCCATATAAATTTGTAACGGCGAACGCGTGTATAGAAGTATAACTTCTACCGGCAGTCCTACTGGACTGCCACACTCGTTTTTTTATATTAAAGAGGCGTTTGTCTATCTTTTCCACATATGTTGGGTTTATTATATTTCTATTAAGCGAAAGAACGAAAAAAAATTATTTAATTCAAATTTATAAAAAGTTGTGCTAAAAGATAATAGAAGCATTAAATTCAAGAAGGATTTACACACACTAACTCAAATACTCAAGTATATAAAGATGAAACGTGAATAATCTTTCAACGAGTATTCCAGTTGCATGGATATATTTTATTTATTTTGCAAGAATTCCTCTTCCGATTATTGGTTTTCGCCTCTGGATCATCGACGACTTAAATTACCGTGACCAATAGCCTACCCTAAAAACTGAAGAAGCTATCTACAAGTGTAGCGAAACTTTGAGAAGGACCCACAAACGGATTTTCCAAAAGTGACACAGTTCAAACCAACAAAATTTACATTAGTTTAAATTAGTTAACTATACAGACATTTCCTTGGTTCCGAAGGTATTTTCTTGTAGTATTTTAAATTTATGAGTATTTCCAACACAAAACTCTTACTTCTACCATTTTAAATATATTCATAGAATCAAAACAGAGGATGCGGAGAGAAGTAAAAGATATCAATGCAGGATTACTACAAAGTAGTGTATTAGGACCGGTACTTTTCTTCTTATACACCAATGATATCTCCCTGACCTGGAGAAAGATATATAACAGCAACCATTGCGGAAGATAAAGCTGTATTATCAATTGGACAAAATCATGAAGAAGATGCACGGAAGCTGCAAACGTAATGGATAAAATAAAAGATTGGATAAAGAAAAAGGAGAATAAAGGTTAATTTAATAAAAGAAAACGGTAAAGCATTGCTGTTAAAATATGTAGCCAGTAAAATTGCGAGTAAAATAACATAATACGTAGCCAGTAACTTTATAAAAAAATAAAGTACAATATAATCAATACATTTTTTTCTTACCTTTTTGTTAAAATACAGAAAACCTTGTGGACAGTTAATATTATTGAACTGAGCAAAGCTGAAAATTTCACCATCAATCACCATCGGATGCGTCCTTAGTTCTCCTCGAGACGTCAAAAAGAGCCAGTGAGGATTTGCTCCGCAAATAAATACCCCGTTATAGCCTTAAACAAATTATTTATTATTCTTATATTCCAAACTTGAAAGAATGTTAATTCATTTATGTAATTTATGAATGCATATTTATATCTATTATTTATTTCCGGACCCGGAAAATTACAGAGGAATTTTTTTATTAAACACAACACGAAAATTAACAACCAAAGTGATAACAAATAAACTGAATGAAATTACAACATTATCAGAAGAACAACAAGGTTTTAGGCCGGGAAGATCATGCACTGACGCTATATTTATAATGAGGTAAGAGCAAGAGAAATCATTAGAATACAACAAACCGGCATATCTAAGTTTGGTGGACCTTAAGAAGGCATTTTACCGGGTCAAATTAAAGCACGTTATCCATTTATTGGACGCAAGAGAGATACCTCTAGGGATAATCAAAACGATCGAAACTATCTACCAAAACAACAAAATACAAGTAAAAGTGGAAGAAGAACTAACCGACTATATTGAAGCTGGCAATGGGATAAGACAGGGAGATTCCGTGAGTTCTCTATTGTTCAATCTGATTGTGGATGAAGTAATAAAAAAGTAAGAATTAAAAAATAATACCAAATGGGAGGAAAACAACTTAAAATAATCTGCTATGCAGACGACGCAATACTCTTTCAAAGTAAAGAAGATTTACAACGTATGCTGCACCAATTTAATATAACCGTCAGAAAATTTAACATGTTATTTTCACCAAAAAAGACAAAATGCATGGATACAACAGAAAATTTACTAAGATGTAAATTGAAGCTGGAAGGGCAGATAATAGAACAAGTGATGGAGTTTAAATATATAGGCATCACATTATCTAGTTACGGAAAGCTCGAAATTGAAGTGGAAGATCAAGTAAATAGAGCAAACAGAGGCGCAGGCTGCCTGAATGAAACAATATGGAGAAATAAAAATATCGGGAAAAAATGAAAGGCAGAATTTACAAAATAGACGAATAATGCCATTCGCGACAGAAACACGACCTAACACAAAGAGGACAAAAATGATGCTGAGAAACAGCAGAGATGAAAACACTTTTCAGAAGAGAAAAAATGATGGCATGACTAGAACACACAACTAGAAGTACAGATATACGACGTAGATACAACGTGGAGAACATCAAGAACTCTGTAAGAAACAGAAGAGTAGAATGGAACGATCATATAAGCCTAATGACAACAAATATATGAGTAAAGACGGTAATTTACTGGAGGCACATTGAAAAACAGACAGTCACGTCTACATAAAAAGAAGAAGAAGAAGATATTTATATCTGACTAGTAATAAAACAATTTACTTACCAGCAATATTATCGAAATATCTTAACCGCATAATCTTCTCTTGTAGAGCAAAATAATCGGAATTTTCAGTTTCGACACCGGTATCCACGTTAGGACTGTATAAAATATTATGCTTCATCTTCTTGAATCTTAATTTCAAATTTCCTCTGGGAAATCTAAATACTTCGTAGATATATAAATCTTTCTGAAGACGTACCAGCAACACTGGCCTCGATCCATTGTTTCCTAAGCCTACCATCAAGAGTTCTTTTACTTGGTATAAGTCTTGGAACTGGTTGTCGTTAGGAGATGGAGTTGTGAGAGCATTTACAGATTCTAAACTATCTACTAATACCTAGAATATTGACAAACAAAAATATTAATAAAACTAAAACTTACGCAGGAATGCAAATAATTAAAACTATAAAACTAGTTCAGTCTTCTATAAAATATAAATATGGTAGAAAAAGTGCCTTCTTCTTCTTTGAGTACCGTGCCAAATTAGGCATGGGCAGCTTCCATGACTATTTGCCGATATTGTTCTCGATCTTGCGCGTCATGTAACAATTCATCTGCTGATAAGCCAGGCTAATGACAAAGTTTTCGGGGCCATGGATATTTCTTCCTACCAATTCATCTTTTCCTTCAATCTTTCCGTTGAATATCTACTACAGTATCCAATATCTGCTACCACTCAGTATATGCCCCAGACATTAAGTTTTCTCTTTTTTATCATCTTCGTCAAGTCACATTCGCCTTGACGTATTCTGTTTTAAGACTTCTATGTTTGAGATGTATTGAACCCATTATATTATGAGTTTCTACGATATGACCACAACTCGAAGTCTTCTAATTTATTCGTCGTATTAACCTTTATGATCCAGGTTTCACATCCAGATAGTAATACAGGATACACATAACATTTTAGGAACTTGATTCTTAGTTGTAAGTTCAACTGAAAATTGCACACTATAGGTCTAAGTTCAATAAATGCTCCTCTTGCAATTTCTATACGAGTTCATTTCTTCATCAGGATTTAGTGTCTCGTTTATCCAGCATCATAGGTATTTAAAACGATTAACTTTTGTTATTCATTTCTAAATGATAATCATTTTTATATGGTATAAAACAAGCATTTTTGAATGTTGATTTACTAATTTGTTGCTTAAAAAACTGTAAAAAACCTAAGAATTCTAAGTTTTCAAAAAATGTTATTAACTATTGTAAAAATTAACCAACAACCTTGATATTTTGTGGACAGTTGGGTCTTATAGTATTAAAAAGCAAGCTCTAAAACGGATGAAGCAGTTGAAGCTGAGGTATACGGAGTGAAACCAAGGTTAAGCTTTAGTGAAAGCCTAGGTAACCACCCTGCTATCTTCCAATGGAAATCTATGCTCTAGAAATGTGCATGCCGGAACTAATCACGAGGAACCGAAAGGACAAATTAATAAAAATTAGTTCTGATAACAAGGCGGCATTAAAGGCACTGGAAATCGAATACGATCGACTTCAAGTTGATTTGGAACTGTCTTCAGAATCTGATTCGGATCGGAAAAAGTAACAAAGTAAGTTTACTCTGGGTGCCTGGACAAACTGATATTCAAGGGCACGAAAAAGCGGACCTGCTTGCCATGGAAGGAGCAAACAAAACATTCATAAACCCAGAATCTGTCGTTGGCATAGCAAGAAGCACAGCCAAAAAAAAAAAACAATATCGAACTGAGTGGAACGGATGAACCATAACCACTGGTACGAACAAATGGGTCTTAAACATTTAAAGGCTTTTATACATGAACCTTCGAAGAAGAGATCCAAAGATCTACTAGATATGAATAGGAGTGATCTGTGTATATATGTGATAAGTCTCCTAACAGGACACTGCCGCCTCAAGGGGCAGATGAAACAGCGACTTCAACCGGTAAGATTCTGAAAGCTGCATCCACGCGACGTCACTCAACGGCACTTTTGGTTTGATATCCATCGAGGCAGATTGATTGAAGTACGGAGACCAGATGTGCGGTTTTAAGAATATAGAGTTTAATTTCAAGAAATGTTTTAAGTTTGGAGTTAGTCGATTAAGATATTTTGGGTTTTGTGTGTGTACTTTGGGTTAATAGCCACTCTGAGCTGGTAAGTGGAACTACATACGAGTGGCAGATCGATTGAAGTATGGCGGCCAGATAGATGTACGGTTTTAAAAGTATCGAGTTTAGTTCGAGGAAATGTTTTAGATTTGGAGTTAGTCGTTTAAGTTATTTTGGGGTTTTTGTGTGTGTACTTTAGGTTAATAACCACTCTGAGCTGGCAAGTGGACCTACGTAAGAATTACATAGAACAAAAAAACTACATGTTATCAGCCATTTTGATTAAAATTGTCACACTTTTATATTCTCATTCCGCCTTTCATATTTCATATATATACCTTGTCATATTTCATCTCATTTCATTAAGAACTATTTTATATCTACATACATTAATAATATAAAATCCTATAACGACCTTAAATTTTACTTTCTAGTCTGAAAATCATACAATTATTTGCTTCTGTTCATTTTCCATAGTATGATCCGTTTCATATCGTTTAACGGGTAAATATTTCTTTTTATATTCTAAAATATATCAAGAACATGCTTTCCTTTCAATTCATATATCATAAAACATTGTCAATCCATTCGAAGGTCACCACATTTTACAAAAACCATTAAGGTTTTTGTTCGCATCTAAGTTTACTTGGTAAAATTGTTGTAATACCTTTCAAGGTTAATAAACTTTGTGTTTTTCTCTACCCTTTTTTCTACGTAGTAAGAACAAACAGTAGGTAATACAATTGTTGTTGTTAGACGACTTCCCAGAAATCAACCAATAGTCACAACAAAGGGGAAGGATTAATTTTAAGTTGGGCTTATTGTTTTTGTACATAAGATTCAGGATTTGTGTTTATTTTTCCACCAGAGTCCAAGTTCATCGGACTATCTCCAAGCGAAATCTTCGGAAAATAGCAGGAAGATCCTCTTTTTAGGTTACTGTTTTGAACATTTTAAAGCTTCCGCTCAAGTTTCGGTTGTATTAAGTGTATATTATTTTTAACATTAAACTGCTTCATCAGACACTTGGACTGATACAAATTCAAACTCCAACAAAGTCCAACGAATGTCCGGATTAATTCCGACCAAGTTCAACTATTCTCTGAAGCTAACGTTGTCACTAACCAAACGCCTGGACCGTAAATTGGACTAAATAGATTTGTGACAACGATCATTTGCAAACAATTAGGCCTTTAACAGAGAGATCAGTGGAATATAATAGACCACTTATACTAATGTTTGTCGATTTTTAAAAAGATTAACACTATTGAGCTTCCTGCTATACACATACACAGAGAAACTCTTTGTTGATATCGAGCTTTCCCAAAATTTATTTAAAGTTGATTATAAATGAGTTTAAAATAATTTTTTCAGTAATTACAATAAAATTAGGACGAAAGAACATGGTATAAACCAATATTAAAAACTTTCAATATGGGGTTAATCCATAAAATTTTTAATACCACCGAAAAACACTAAAATTAAAATGGTTCGTCTTGCTCCAGTTCGTAGTTCCAGCTACATACTACATCCATCGACAATTTGACGTTTGTTCAAAATTGTGGTCAAAGTTTGAGGCGTCATTACACTTAAATGACACCCAGTGTGGCATGTTATACAAAATGGTGAACAACACGTCCTACATTCTAGCACCTAATAATCCATCGAAGTTGGAGGTCACAATTATTTATATTATATGTATCGTTAAAAATGTAAAAAAGAATAAAATTACCTTATATCCAAAACAAAGATTAGCAACGAAAAAACATAACTTGAAATCAGGTATGGAATAAATTTCCAAATTGGAATTGTCTCTGACAACGAATAGCCAGAAGGTAGGCTTATTTGGAGTCATGTATTTCTTCCACCAATTGTAGTAAACCTTCGGTTTTGGGGGTGCCATTGTTAATGAAGGCATCTTAAAGTCACCCTCACCATATAATAGATCGTCTTCATTTTCAATTTCGGATTTATATTCATATTCTCTTATTACATGTGCCGGAACTTGGACGAATTCTTCAGGGATTTTATTTGTGAATAAACCTGATGTGTCTTTGTACATACATATAGTGGATACAGGAGGATTCTGAAACATAAAAAAAATATATTTCTACAAAAAATTTCGGTTATAAATTTACAAGAAAGAAATTATAGGTAAACTTACAATTTTATGTAAGAGTTAGCAATATTAACAATTCATATTTTTTACAAATCGCGTAGATGACTAAAAAAATTTAATATTTGATGATTGTATTTTGGGTTTTATAACATGCAGAACAAAAGTGATGATGTCCATCAAAGACATCTATAATTTAGAATTATTTTCGATTATACAGGGACAGTAGGAACAACGGAATAAATCAAAGTTGCGTGTTTGTTAATGAATCACCCTATATATTAAATTATTTTTGAATATATCCTTTTTTAAGTTAATGGCACTGGCAAAGCCAAAAGGCCAGTCATATTTTCTCATAGTTTTATCATCCATCGTTTACATTATATATAAATATGTTAAATTGGGATACAATAATTTTATTGTTAGTTTCTTTTTTTATTATTTTTTTTATTGTTTAATATTATTCATTTATTGGTTTGGTTTCTTTTGTTTTTTTTTTCGTTTTAGGCTTACAAAATTTACAAATTTATTCACATGTCGCAATTACAAAGTAATATTGGTAGATTTTACATACTGATATATGATGTTACAGATACTATTATCCTCTAATGTCAATAGATTTGAATCAATTATCAATTTCTACTTTTTTTAAAGAGTATTCGAAAAGAAAATGTTGTAAGTCAGCAGTTTCATCACATAAAGATTTATTATTATCTAACAAACCTATTTTCGATTGCAGCGCATTCGACTTATTATCCGAACAATTGAACGATTACGTTGATTCTCAAACCATGGTTTGTCCCCTATTTTTGGTTGTATATTATTAAAAAAACTGTCCTTTGTCTCCACATTTATATTTTAAAAATTGGAATAAAATCAGACTCTGGTATTGTTAATCTGAGTATTCTTCCATTTTTCGCACCATTTTTTGCTATAGAATCTACTTTCTTATTTTCATCTATACCCCAAAGGCTTTTATTCAGGATATATAAATTTGTTTTCCTCTACCTGATACATTTTGATACAATTCCAAAATATTAAGAAGGAAGTAATTTAAATTAGGATTCAACATAGATTAGTAAGTTTCTCTACCGAACTTTTAGAGTCTGTAAATATGACAAATTTATCCTCTTCTTGTTCTAAATACATACTAATTGCTACTTTTATGACAATGAGCTCTACACTGCAAATTGATAACATATCTGACAGTTTGTATATTAGCTTAATATTTTTGGACGGATAATAAACTGCACAGCCGACTCATGTTCCGATTTCGATCCATCAGTATAAACTTTTTCATACTCCTTTCATTTTACTGTACAATCCCGATAATATTCTTTTTGTATAATAATATTATTTTGACACACGTAGCGAACATTAATATGGGTCTTAACTGGGGAAAGAAACATTTTATAAAAATAATTCCATACAGGAATTCCATTGAATTGATATAGTTCTTCATATCTGTGTACATTGGTAATAAAACTTTCATCTAATAACGGTGTTTTTTAACGCTGTTAGTTTCAACTAAATCGGTTTATTTTTAAATACCGTTTGTAAGTAAAGATCTTATATATGTATATGTCTTGCATATTCTCACCTATTCTCCAGTGATATCTGTTTATTTTTCCAAACACCCCCTTGGGCAACCAATACCCCTGCCGCTTTATAATATTTAATTTTACCACTTAATCGTGCCTTCTAGATGTGTCTTTTCAATATGTTCCATACTTTTGCAATCTATCACAACTTTACATCATAAAGAAATTACATTTGTGTACATATATTACATATTAACGTTCATAAATACTTACATTTGATAGAGTGGATTTACTAACAACCAACTTAGCCGCCCCTCTAGTCTCTCTCAACATCAACGTAATGACTTGCCCGTCTGACGTCATCAGAGAAATGTACGGATCGGCACTGGAAATGTGTACGATAGGCGAGCCCAAATCCATAGGGACGTGTTGTAGTTGATTCGCACCTTGTAACAGCCTGACAGCCACTGTCGTTACTTGGACAATATATTTGTTATTACCCAAGTTACCGGCATACACTGTTGGTCCGTGAGTTGCAAAGCCAGTGTTGTCGATTTCGTTAATTTCTTGACCAGTTTGTAGGATCTGGAATAAGTAAAGACTATATTCAACATGCAGTAAGTAGTCAGACTTAATTACCTAGTATTTGCCATCGTAAAAAACAACTGAATTTGAATTTAGATAAGTAAATAAAAAGAAAACCTGGTGAAACATTTAATAAAAAATATAAACTTTAACACAGAAATACTTTTCTTCCCCTTTTTCTTGAACACTTATGATTATTCCAGTATCAGTTTCTCAACACCCCGTTTCTGTATTCCGTTTTTGTATTCCTCTCTCTTTTTGTGTATCTTGTATAAACTTGATTTACTAGAATGCACATGACCATATTGTTTTCATCTGTTGAGCGGATGTAGTTTTAGACCGTTTACAGTTGAATGTAGTTCTGATCTAAACATGAGTGATATTTTAGGAGACTAAATTTGGTAATGGCAAATATATATTTTTCAATTCCATTTTATTCAGAAAGCAGTAACTTTTATGCAACCCTGTTTAAAGTTTTTAAACCCGCGTCTTCGGCTTATAAATTTAAACGTTAGTTTTCTATCATAACCATTCAAATGGCATCTGAGAATCTTCAAAAAGGAAACACTTGAATTCCGAATGAGATCTACTCTAGGTCTTTATTCGTCGTAACTGCATTGAATAAAAGCAACCGCGACCTATTTAAATCGTTTTCTCTGTAAGAATTGCGGCACAGATAAGCACAATAAGTATTTACAAATTGTCAAATGCTTCTGGCATATTTCTCTGAGCTTAAACAAGTGTCCCGCAAATTTTGTGTGCCACAAACACTGTTCATCGTTTGATGTGTTACAAAATTATCTAGGCAGATTCATTCATCGACATTAGGTTATAGATGTAACTTCAGACATTTCGCAGAGGCCGTTGTGAACGGGAGAACATTCTCTCAGTTCATCTCGCCTTCTCGCTCACAATTATAAACGATTGACTATGTCAATTGCAACAGCAAGCTGGTGTCAAACGAGTCTAGGTACAATCCCATGCTTGAGCGATTTTCATAAAAGCTAAACACTACAAATTATAAAGGCAGTCACCATCAGGGTAGTCATATGGTTTGAATGCAGTAGTGCAGAACTAAAGCGGCAGTTAACAGGGTCCTCATAGCCATGATGATTTCCAACCTTCGATAAAAGATGGAACTTAAAGAAGAAGAAGCCATCAGCATCTTAGCTCTAGCTTTTTTATGCCATTCTGTTCAGTTTTTTGCTTGGGTCTTCTAGCCGTAACAGGCACTAGATTTTTTGTAAAAAACACTGCTGATTTTTTGTCATTTAATTTACAACTATAAGTTTTTGAACTTTCGAAATTTACCCGCTTTCGGAACTGGAAACCGAAACGTCAAGTAAAGATTTATTTTATGATTCTGATTTTTTTCCAACAATATATTGGATAATAATATAATCTTATCAACGAATTATAGTACGCAAGGGAAAATGTGGATACAAATATTCGGCAGAAGATCGAAATTAATACATATACATTAATAAGAAACAAAATAAAGAAAAATTAAGTAATGCAAAAAATAATCTTAAAGAAGCTTACCATCGTTCCATCTTCCTGACTTAATATCAAAAATGCATGCTGGTCATCTCCACTTTTCACAGTCCACATATTGGAACATCCCGGTAGTGTAAATGTCGTGACAATTTGTGGTCTAATATTTTTTTGTAGCACACAAAGCGCACCATTTTTTCCGTAACCAGCTGTAGTTACTAATTCCAGATTCAGATCGACGTTATCGTTGAATTCTTCACTCAAAAATGCTGGTTCCCCAATTGACATATTGCCACAAGGTCCTATGTTAAGGAAACTGTCACACACTTCAAATATATAGCTTGATATCTGAATACCTGTTAAGAATAAGTCATAAATAAGTCAAAAGACTTTTGAGATTTGATTTCAATACAGGGCCTCTGCCATCCGCTTATACGTATTTCGACCTTTTTAGGTCTCCTCAGAGCGACAGATTCAGAAGCTTTAAATAGAAAACAAAACTCTCCTGTCATAAAAGTAAAATTATAAAAATAATTATATAGTACGTTACATCGTCATCTAATAACAAAATTAGTAGAAAGAAATCCAAAGAATTCTTGGCGAGAATAAATTCAAATATTTTTCTCTGCGATTTTTACTATATTATATAAAGCAGAAAGATTGATTAATGCATCAACAATGAGAATCTACAATTTGTATTCCACGACCTGTCGTCTACCATGGCAAATATCCTTACTGAATTAGTTTCTAATAATCCGAAAATGAGTAAATAAACAAAGCAGAAAGACTTTTGGGATTTGATTTCAATACAGGGCCTCTGTCATCCTTGGTGCCACTGCAAATTGTAGATTCCGCTTGTTGATGAATTCATTAATCTGTCTGCTATTACTGTTGTAAAAAGCGCAGTAGATAAATATTATTTCTGTAATGTATGGCCATGGAATTATAAACTGCACTCACGACGCTCATGTATTGCTAATTATCGCATTATATTTCAGTTAAGTTACAGGTAAAAGAATTAACAGTTGTGTTTGATATGTAGTCAAATAAAGATTTGTTTTGGGTCCATCCAAGTGTTTTTGTATCAAACATTTCAATTTCTATTAATTTTCATAAATATTATGTATACGAATTTCTATCGGGAAGACATAGGACAAGCTAAGAATGCAACAGCTCTGAAGGAAATAGTACAGCAAATTTACGATTTGGAATTGGAAACATTAATCATAAAAAGGAAATACTCTTACCAGCTTGTTTCTGGGTACCATACACTTCCAATTCCTCCGGATCTCGAATATCTAACACATCACTGGCCATACAGTCGGTAAGAGAATCTAGTGTTCTGTCCGATTTGTCAGTACGTGATCTTTTATTGGATGGTTCATCGTTATCATCCAATGTTATTACTTCATTCGCTTTTTCGGTAAACCTTAGAAGTAGAGAATTGCCAAGACGAGAGCCCAAAAATAAGAAGTTGTTCTCACATATGCAAATCTAAAATTAATATGTTAATTTACAAAACCGTTTATTGTTATTTTATACATAAAAATGTGATCTGTGTGTTGCAGTCGCAGACCAAACATTTGAAAGAAATATTTCCAGAAGCGGCCTATAAGCCCGGAAACAACGTATCATGATAAAACTGTACCCTCTTAATGATTAATTGGGGGTTACACAAAGAACGGTACTAGGCTCGGGCTTCAGTCTGGTAGAGGTATCTTGGTCGGGGTTCTTGTTACAGCTCAAATATCACGGATCAATTAAAGAAGTACTTACAATACAAAGACAAGAAGCTAAAAGAAAAGATAAGATATAAGAGAAGAAAAGTTATTTGGGCACCACCCTATTTTTAGAGGAACAGGGAAACCTTAAGGCACATAGAAAAGGATGACGAGAAAGGTAAGGTACAGCTAGAGAACTCACGCGAGAATAAAGTAAACTATGAGAGAAAAGGTATCGGAATTATGCGGTACACTCCTAATATTTCGACACATATACACAAAATATACGATCAAACAAATAATAATATAATTCAATAAAAAATGCCTGGAAGAGAAACACAAAAATATAAATTCAAATTATATACAAAAATATAAAAGAAATAAAAAGCAAATAGATCTTTAACAAAATTATATTTAGGTATATTTGTTAAAAAAAACTCCGCCTCTGGTAGATACTGGGTGGATTGAGTAGCTCAGTAAATGCCAGTGCCGGTCCCAAGCCCGGATGAAGGAGGAGGGTTACAGCGGTAGGTTAGCTCCCCGCCCTGCGTAAAAGAAATATTGCTAAAAATCCCAAGGAACAGCCTCGGAACTCGGATGGCTTCAAAGGAAAACGACATAGGCAAAGAAAAAGGCTAACGAATTTTGGATGTTGGAACATACAAGGACTGAATACAAAAGAAGATCAAGTATTTAAGGAACTCAGTACATACCGAATTGACATCGCAGTACTCAGCGAAACAAAAAAGAAAGGACAGGGGAACCACTACAAAGACGACTATATATACTTCTGGAGCGGAGTAGAAAAATCAAAAAGAGCCAAAGCTGGAGTAGCGGTCGTGATAAGAAAAAACATGGAAAAATGTATTACCAACTGGAACCCGATAGACGAAAGAATTATAACAGTAGACCTTACAACAAAGGGGAGAGACATAAAAATAATTGGCATCTATGCACCCACGGACGACTCAGATACAAACACTAAAGACATGTTCTTCGACAAACTCTCAGAAGAGTTAAATAAAATAAAAAAAAGACAAGAAATAGTCCTGCTAGGGTACCTGAACGGAAGAGTAGGTAAAGCTCTTGACAACAAAATAATTGGACAACACGGAGAAGATGTAGTAAATGAGAACGGAACAAGATGGTTGGAGGTATGCGAACAACATTCGTTAAAAATACTGAATGGATTTTACAAACATAGAGACATAAATAAATATACATGGACTCAAAAGACAAGAAAACTGCAGTCAATTATAGACTATATAGTAGTTAAACAAGAGACATCTTTAAGACCCTACGATGTAAAAGTTTGGAGAGGGGCAGAATGTGGATCGGATCACCTACTAGTAAAGGCACCCGTGGAAATAAGATATATTAAACAACATAAATCCCAAGAACAGACAAACAAAGAATCCATACGGCTCTATAACATAGCCAGCTTAAAAAATGAGTCCACAAGTTTTCTCTATAAACTACGTTTGGCACAAAAATTAGACGAAGAAATAAACGGAACAGCGGAAGAAATGTATGAGACTTTGAAAATCAAAATTCATGAAGCAGCATTAGAAGCTCTAGGTACGAAAGAAAAAGTAAAACATAGAAATTATTGGTGGACAGAAGGTTTATTAGAACTGGTAGAAGAAAAGAAAAAACTGTATCTCAAATGGTTAGCGACAAAAGATGAGGAAGACCGAAAGAACTATAACAGATACAAATATATAGTAAAAAAGGAAATTAAAAAAACAAAAAACATAACCTGGGACAACAAGTGTGCAGAAATAAGCTCAATGGTAGGAGGATCTAGGTCCAGACAAGCTTGGAAAACTATCAACAGTCTTAGAAAAAATACAAACGAAACAAAAAAAATAAACCCCATAGACATAGAAAGATGGAAAAATTATTACGAAAATCTATTAAATGAACAACGTACACAGTTTCTAGACACACATATATATATATATATATATATAGTTGAAACGGGGTTAAATGAAGTGGCGATGATTACCGTAGAAGAAATAAAAAACGCATTACAAAAAATGAAAAATAATAAAGCTCCTGGGCCGGGTGATTTACCTATCGAGTTATTCAAACATGCCACTGCAATAACATTAGAATTGCTTTGTAAAATGTTTAACAAGTGCCTACAAGGAGAAAGTATCCCAAGAGATTGGAAAGTCTCGTACATAAACTCCATCTACAAAAAGGGAAACAGGAATGACCGCAGTAATTACCGAGGTATCAGTATTACGTCATCCACTGGCAAACTGTATGAAAGAGTTCTGAAAGCCAGAATAGAAAAAGAAGCCACAGAGATCGAAGAACAAAGTGGATTCCGACCAGGGAGATCTTGTGTCGACAATGTATTTACTCTCAAACATCTAATAGAAAAGAGATTAGCAAGAGGACTAGAACTTCATGCCACTTTTATAGATCTCCGTAAAGCGTTTGACTCCGTACCACTGCAGAGACTATGGACAACATTGGAAAACGCTGGTATAAATGCAGTATATATAAATGCCGTGAAAAAGCTATATCAAGATAACCAAGCTTATATTAAGGTTGGAAACCAAATTTCCAAGGGTTTCACCCAAACAAAGGGTGTCAAACAGGGCTCTTGCCTCTCCCCAACCCTATTTAAAATATATCTTGGTAATGCTTTAAAATATTGGATGAGAAAATGCAGCCCAATGGGCATATGGGTAAATGACACTCCTATATACACAATCCTCTTCGCAGACGACCAGGTAGTTCTTGCCGAGGACCTACAAGATATGACGTACATGATAAACAAACTAATAGACGAATTCAAAAAATGGGGATTAGAGGTTAATACCGAAAAGACACAATACATGAATATAGGAGGCATCGGTCAAGACATAGAAACAGAAAGCGGATTAATTAAAAACGTTGATCAGTACGAATATCTCGGAGTTACACTAAGCGAAGACGGGAGAGACGACAAAGATATAACAAGAAAAATAGGAAAAGGAAAAAACATGATAAAAACACTACATCCGATCCTGTGGAATAAAACTTTAACTAAGAAAACAAAGAAAAATATATATCAGGCTATGATTCAGCCGGTGCTGACGTATGGGTCAGAAGTGTGGGTCTTTAACAAGAATATGTCACAAAAACTCCTCTCAACGGAAATGATGTACTGGAGAAGATGTTCCGGGTTAACTTTGTTTGACCACATAAGAAATGAAAACATAAGAGAGAGAATGAAAGTAAAGAACACAATAATGGATACGATAGCCGAAAAACAATTAAAATGGTATGGACACCTGAGACGGATGAACGAAGAAAGGATACCACGAAAGGTTTGGAACTGGAGACCTACACAGAGAAATAAAAGGGGAAGGCCAAGAAAGAAATGGATATCCAATATTCATATAGAAATGGAAAATAGAGGTCTTCAAGAAGGAGACTGGGCCGATAAGAAATTATGGCGATTGGGATGCGAGAAGCGACAAAATTAAAGTTGCAAACACTCGCTATATATATATATATATATATATATATATATATATATATATATATATATATATATATATATATATATATGTTAAAGTAAATGTACTATACCAAATTTTATTGGATAGTTAAATGGCATGATTATTGCGCAACTTATTATTAATTACAAACAAAAAATATCTCTTTGAAAAATAGTTATAAATAATTTAGTATCCTCAAGAACTAGAAAAAGGCAAGGAACATTATAATTATATCTACGTTAATATTTGGCAAACAAGTGAATTTTATGCCTTGAGGATACCTAAATATGAAGTTAGTAGGTTTTTGATCTGATCACTTCAAATCTAAGAATAGAATTTATCAGAAATATAATCTACATATAAAATCAATTGTACGTTATTTATACGTATATATTATCCTGTATTTTTATACTCAGTCAAACTAAACCTCCATAAATAAGAAGGTACACTGAACTGGAGTCATAAATCAACTTCTAAAGATTTCGTTATCACAGTTTAGTCAATAAAAATTATAGGTACTCACAAAACAGGTGTATTCAAATAATGGTATTACGCCCTCAATATGGCACTTGACTTCGGTCCGTACAACAGGTAGTTGGGATGACACCCACAAAGAATTGCGGTCTTCTTAACGTAATCCCTTGGATTGTCTTAGGCCGACGAAAAGAGGCAGTTAGACCAAGGTAGTACAATACGGTGAGAGAAGAGTAGTAGAAGAACGGTGTAGAATCTGAACAATGTAGAATCTGAACGGTGTAGAGTAGAATATGAACGGTAAAATCTGAACGGTGTAGAGTAGAATATGAACGGTAAAATCTGAACGGCAAACAGAAGTGACTTCAATTGGAAGATGTCTGTTTGACAAAAGAGAAGATAATTAATATAAGACACACTGTGTAAAGATAAATAAGGGTGAATTGAAAATCCACTTACCGCCGATTGTCGAAGATAAGACCGCTTGCCACAGGAACCAACTTGGTAATGAACATCGGATTGTGAACTTAGAAGGGCTTAGACAAGCGAAGGTTGAAAATAGAGAGGGGATATTGGCTGAAGGATGCCACGCGAAATTGACATTAAATTGCTGGGCTACTGGGGTTCATTTTCATAGCTTTTACCAATGGAAAGTAACTTTCTACGAAAAACAACTCTTCTGTTTTTCTGAGAGGGTAGCTCGGAGATTTCTCAATAGGGCCTTTTTCCTTTGTTATTAGGAAAGATTTTTATGTACCAAACAAGATAAAAAGAAGAAAGGAACGTTTGTCGCAGTTACTTCTTTGTTAAAAAAAGGCGTAACGAATTAGTAGTGTCGGTTATTTGGAAGATATGCAGGCATGGGCGGCGTGAAAATAATTTACTAAAGGAAATAATTTAAAGAAATTATGAACATGCTTCAAAACACATGCCGTGAAAGTCTATACTCATTGGGAAAACGGTATTAAGTTTTCTTTGTACATTGTTTTTTTATAACAAACCTGCGTTTCAATAAAAATCATAAAAACGTATACTCACACAAGTAGTTAGGACACTAGCAGCAGCTTTTTCAAAATGAAAACTTCTAATGTACCTCATACTATCAGCCAAGAGGGTTAAGACATACAATTCACCACCTTTTAAGGATAATACTAGCGTGTCTTCTTCTAAGAAACCAATTTGAGCACAATCCAAAGTTATTTTGATATCCTCCTGTGGTTCTGTAAGAATATATAAGAAACATTTCAATTAATCAAAGTTTATTACCTACAGATAACTCCAACTCTAACGAGCTGGAATGCATTAGTCCAAGATTCAGAAGTTGTTACGAACTAATCATATAAGGATCACTTTAACAGCCATTAAAAATAAACCAATACTATAAATGAAGCCACCAGAACCAGAGTGGCCCAAATTACATTTTTTCATATTTAGACTTTATCACAAAAAAAGATGTGAAATAATAATATTTTCAAAGCCACAGTGGCCCAAGATTAGTTCTCTCCGAGAATAAGAGATAATTAACTCAGAGAATTTCAAAGTAAAAATAAAGGCTTGTGAAAATAGTGAACATTCCAAGAAGGCCGAAATTACCACTGCCAAGGAGATTCATTTAAGAAAAGCGGAAAGTGTCATGAATAATATGAAAATTGATATACAGTATACAAAAGAAAACAATGACACCACAGTAATTATATTTGATCTGATGAACATTCTTCCAACTCCAGTAATTTCAACTGGAATATGCTATTATAAACGGCAGTTATGGACTTACTGTTTAGGAATTTAAAATGCTGCTACCGATGACATTTTTATGTACGTTTGGGACGAATCGACTGCATACAGAGAGTCACAGGAAACAGGTTCATGTTTATTAAAATTTATTAGAGATAATGTACGTACAAAAAAACTAATAATGTACTCAGACCAATGTGGCGGTCAGAACCGCAATATAAAAATTGCGGTGTTGTGTATGTACATTGTATCAAATCCAGCTTATACTGTGGAACAGATTGATCACAAATTTATAGTGAGCGACCATTCCTACTCAACTTATGGCCGAGCTTTCGGCAGAAGCAGAAGAGGTATTTCTCGAACATATACATTCCGGAGCATTGGAACACCATGATAACAGCAGCCAGAAAAAGAATCCATTCAAGGTAGTACAGATGAAACGAGACGATTTCATATCGACGGAAGCCTTAGAAAGTAACATTACGAACAGAAAGATAAGCGTTGATAGGTCTAAAGTAGAGTGGCTAAAAATGCAGTGGATGCTGTATAGTAGGATGCATCCATTCTCCATGTATTTTAAATATTCGAATAATCCAGTCCTTTTTAAGTGAAGTTATTATATAATTAAGTCCTTTTTACTGAAGTTAACTTCAGTAAAAGGAATTCTCAAGATGCTGCTAACCTAGAGCTCGAAGCACTCTCTCCGGATGAAAAAAAGACCTTCTCTCTCTTATTAATAAACACGGACTAACCTTGGACTAACATTAGTCCCAGGACTACACCAATAACATTCATTTTTCGTATTAATAAACAGCGACTAAGGACAGACTAAGCTAAACCTTAGCTAGTCTCGGACTAACATCTAATCCGAGGTAGTGGCAGGTTTAGAGAGTGACTAACTTGACAATTGACATTGAGTTAAGTTTCGTTTTGCTATTCATAACCTGAATTGTTTTTGATTATTCATACATTATTTAATAATGAAAGATTATTTTATCAACGACTTAAGATTAATAGAACAACTTAATGACCATAGAAATCAGTGTAATAATATTCATCTAAGACATATTAAAATATATAAAATTAGAAAAAATCCTCTAGAAGAATTAGAAGAAAATGAATTTAAGTGCAAATATCGCTTTTCAAAAGCTACAGCAGTTTTTATAATAGATATGCTTAGGGATGATTTATCTGGTGATTCCAGAGGTGGACATATACCTCCTTATTTAAAAGTTTTGTCTGCAATAAGAACTTGGGCCCGTGGAGAAATAAGTGAAATTTTTATTAAAGTTATTAATAAAAGTATACCTATATTGCATTTAGTATTGTTAACTTTTAGTTCTAAATATTTATTAGTTACACTATAAGCTCAGCAAAATTTAATTTCTAAATTGACTGATTACATTATAATTTATACAGATTCAAGATGATGCTGGAGATATTAGTGGTATAAGTCAGCCAGCAGTCTCCCTTGTTTGTAAACAAGTGGCTTTAGCTCTGGTACAGCACAGAGCTCGTTGGATTAAAATGCCAGAAAATAATTTGGAACAAAATGCCACAATTGCAGGTTTTTATGTAATATGTGGATTTAGGCAAGTAATCGGAGATATCGACTGCACTCGATGACTGCATGTACAAGTAAGTTAAGAATAATTCTAGGCTAATTTGGTCACTTATTAAATTTATTGTATGTCAAAACATAAGTCACCTATTCTGGGCTCATATACAATAATTTTAGCAAAAAAAAACTACAAGAAAGTTTCAAAACCACTTGCTAAATGTCTAAAATTTATATATTTTTAAAATATACAAAACCTCTGTATATGTTCAGTGTGGTTTTATTTCTAAATCTAAAAACTGTTTCACTGTGACTTATATGTAAAATCACATATGTCAAACAGTTGTGACAAGTTATAAATAGAATGCTAGAGAAAATCCAGAAATTTGTATTTTTTAATTTATTTCAAAAATAATATGACTGGAATTACTGAGCTGTTTCATTCACTTATTTACTAGTATGTAATACTATTTTATTCTATTTCAAGACATAAATGTTTGTTTTCTTTTAGATTGTGTCCAATGCAAATTTGGAAATTATGGACATAGTAGCTCACTGGAGAGGGAGCACTCATGACTCCAGAATATTTAGTGAGTGTAGTTTAAATCGTAGGTGTGAGCAATCTGAGTTCAAAGGCAGATTAATAGGAGATTCAGGCTATGCCTGCACATCTTATTTATTTACTCCTGTCTTAAATACACGATCAGAAAGGGAAGAACGCTACAACAGGGCACATATAAGAACCTGCAACTCAGTGGAACGGTGTTTTGGTATATGGAAACAAAGATTTAGATGTTTATTACATGGGTTTACCACCAAATTAGAAAACACAAAATTATATATTGTAGCATTGGCAATACTTCACAATATTGCCATTTACAAAGTTGATATGGTTGATGATATTGAATAATCAGGAAATGATGGTATACCAGAAATACCTGCAATAAATAATACAATAAGAGGGAACACAGCTCGAGCTGCGTTTATTAACGAAAAATTTTAAAAGCAAAATTTATTTAATAAAATATTTTACAATTCATTATGTTTATTAGTATTTTATATATTTTCCCTTTGTAATAAAATATTTTTTAAAGTTTCCTCCTGAACTTTTATGAAGTTTAAACTTTTCAGATAAAAAAAAATACTCTAAAATTTAAACAAACTTCCTCAGAACACAGTCCAACTAAAATTAACTCTACGTGCTACAACTTATGCTGTCAAATTCTCAAATATTTTTCTTCTTTTTCACAAAATTCTCTCCATTTTTCTTCTTTTTCGCAATGGTTGCCAACATAAACTTGTTGTACCTAGGACTAAGGAAGGTTTAGTTAGTCTGAGCTTAGTCCATGTTTATTAATAAAATTCTGAAAATGAAGTCAGTACTTGCTTAATCTGGGACTAATTAGTCCGAGACTAACTTCGGACTAAGCAATTTTTATTAATAAGACTGTCTGTGTTTACTAGATTAGAATATGTTCCGCCCATCTATCATCAATTGTACCACCAACTAACAGACTCTAACACTACAAGAAATGAATTAGACGGAGCAATGAGCGATTTTTCAGTGGAGTAGTGTATATTGAAAACATTTAAAAACAGTAAAAGTGAGAGTTTGATTACAACTTAAGTAAAAAATCTAGCAATAAGTTTTAATTTGTCTATTATATTACATTTATTTCTGGTATATTATATTAATTTATTTCTGTGGGATGGGTTGTTTTCATACCCGATGGCCTATTATTCTTACTATATAGATTAGACTCTTCCTAATAAAACCAAAATAGATAGTCAACCTTCCTTAGAACAATTTAAAATTGAATCAAGAAAGGAAGTAATTACAATATTAGTAGTGAAACAACAATTAAATTTTATTTCAAAAGATCTCTGTCCACTGATTTTCAAAACTATAAGGTAGTCAACAAGGAAGCAAAAGTAGCAGTAATAAACGCTAAAGTAGAAGCGAATACAAATCAATACAATCAATTTAATACTTAGAAGGTAAAGCAAAGATATATAAAATAGCTAAATATAGAGCAAAGAAACCAAAAAGTAAAAAGAGTATTATTTTTCCTATTTGATCAAATTTATTTGTTAACATTAAAAAGATAATATCAAAAATACCTACTTAATGGAAAATTTGAAGAATTGTCAGCAATGCTGTTTAATGACACTCCATAGGGTGGTATACTTTGATTCAGATATATCAAAGAATTTATAGCCATGATTAATGTTCCACCAATAGGCTTCTTGATAGGCACTGCTTTGACACAATCAAATGGTAAATTAGCAACACTCCAAATGACAGGATGGACTTTCTGCTGTAAATTCAAAGAAATTGCTGACATTGCGCAGGTATCGGATCTAACAGCCACTCTCCTACAAAATGAACATTAATTAAAGACAAAAAAATCATTTAATAATGTGTAGATATATATATATATATATATATATATATATATATATATATATATATATATTATATATATATATATATATGGCCCTATTTTTTCCTTTGCCTGTAGTCTTAAATTTGTTAAAATTATGCAATATTGTATACATATATACGTTCACTCGTGACGTACCAGTATCTTGTTCTGCATAAATACGAAGCTGAGGTCTCAATCTGCCTACTCCTCAGTGTCGAGTGACGACCGGTCTTACCCTGTGTAGCCGCTCTCAGTAAGCGCGGGAACGGTATGTGTGGAAACCATGGTAAAATGAATACAAGGTATGATATTGCGCATGATATATGACAGCTGGCCATCAGCTGGCCCAGGAGTGTGACGTAGTCAAGATCGCTCGAAATGGCTCCAACCCATTATTACAGCTTAACGTACACATGAATTTTGAAATAATGGTCAAAAAATGATTGAATTTTTTTTAAATGTTTTGTTTTGGTTATAATTGAATAAAAAATATATTTTCAGTAGCGTAAAACCTTTACTTTTCCTGGGGATTTAGGCGAAATATTTATTTTTGTTTTCATACATACAGATTGAACGAAATAAATTCGGAACATAGGAATATAATGTATTTCGGCTCAATTCTGCTGTAGGTGGTTGCTGCTGTCAGCGGGCTGCTGGATTCTGAACTCATAAAAATTGAAAGCTACACATAAATCTACGATTTTAATATGCTGTCAAACCAGTTATAGTCCAGGAAATGAAGCATTTCACCTCGCAATTTTTTGGTGCTGCGTGTGTTGACTTGAAATTTAACAGAAGGTTGAAAAAAGTGATTCTAGACAAAAAATGTGCTATACATTTTTTTTTATAAAATGATATTTTTCAAGTTATTCGCGATTGAAAGTAACAACTTTTAGACGAAAAAAATCCACGTTTTTAATCTATTTTTCGCGAATAATTCAAAAATGGTGCATTTTATCAAAAAAATTGTAGAGAACAAATTTGTAGCTTTTAAAAAGACAAATACAATTCATTTTTTAAAATGTTTTTTGCGATATAATAGGAACCGAAATACGGCCTATCAATGTTCAGCGGTTTTCTTCAAATGCCAAATTTGAAAGATTTAAAGTCAGATATCGGGAAAATGATGCATTTTTGGAAGAAAACTCACAAAACCTTTTTTAAAGAGCATAAACAGACCTATCATAAACAAAGACTCTAGCTCAAAAATTGAGTGAGTTATGATGAAAATAAGGTCAATACCTCATTTTTTACGAAAAAATCGATGAAAACAACCCCCTAACCACCTCCATAATTAAAATCGATCTTCACCCTTCTGCAATTCCCTTTGTACATGTATTGTTAATACGTCCAAGAAGTTTTACCCATTTAAAATGCTTAGTTTTAGAAAAAGTACAGCTTAAAGCGAGAAACGATTTACAATTTCATATTTTTTACCCTTTTTTTTTAAATATGCCCGAAAATACTGACTATATGAAAAAAAAAATTTCCAAATTGTAGCTTTTTTAATGACTAAAATTATCCTTTATTTATATTTGTTGTACAATGAATATTTGGCGAGATATAGCCGTTTAAAGCATCGATTTACGATCAAGCACCATCTTTTTCGGGCCCTTTAAACTCACCCCATTTAAAAACCAAGGGTTCCAAAAAGATTTAATTCACAGATCCTTGTAACTCTTAAAAAACTCTACAAATCGTTTTTAAAGAAACACTCTATAGTTAAAAATTAAAGGAAATACGTTAAAAAAAAACAGTTAATTTTTTTCCGGAAAATTCCATTAGTATAGTACAGTACATTTCGGAGCATAATAATCTACAAAACCGGTATATACAAAATCTCATACAACAGAATAAAACATCTGCTCATGTGTCTATGGCTTGGCAATAAAAATATCAGAGCAACAGATTGGGGATGGTATTCCAACGATGGTTTGTTATTATCCGTACGCATGACCAAACAACCTGTACCCGATGAACTTTTGAAAATTACTTTTTGCCAATGCAAAAAAGGATGCGGCGTTTCATGTGGGTGCAGAAAAGTTGGTTTATACTGTAACTCTACTTGTTCTGGGTGCTCAGGTGAAGGGTGCAATAACAGTCCACCAATAATTGAAGAAGATGAGGATGACATAGATCACGATGAAGATGTAATTGATGACGAATAAAATTAATATTATAATTGTTTTACCTATAGATGTAAATATTTTCAACTATTTATGTAAATGTATAAGAATATAATTATGGTGCCTTTTTATGTTGATAAATTTTTTTGTATTTAATTCTACTTTTTTTAATTTATATCTTATAAATTAGTTTATAAAAACTGCAATATTGTAAAGGGTGATTTTCAAAAGTTCAATCTAATCCAAACCAAATTTCACTCATCTTAAGATTTGTAATATTATTTTACAATTTTTGAAAATTATGGGTAGTTTTCAGCCCTAAGAACAATCAGGGTTCATCGGCATGACATAAACTATAAAGCAGAGGGTGAGTTGAGCTTAATTCCAAATTTTTATGCAAATCGTTCCAAGGTGAAATCATTTTCTTCGCATTACTAATTTTTCTATATTAATCTCTAATAAGGGTCGCTTTTTAAGGGTTGAAATATGATGGAGCTTTATTCAAAAGCACGAAACCATCATTATTTAATTAATTCAAACCAAATTTTACCCATATTCAGGTTTAATATGTTATTTTATAATATTTGACAATTAGGGGTAGTTTTCACCCCTAAGAACAATCAGGGTTCGTCGACATGACATAAACTATAAAGCAGCGGGTGAATTGAGCTTAAATCCAAATTTTTATCCAAATCGATCCAAGGCGAAATCATTTTTTTAGAATTAGTAATTTTTTTACATTAATCTCTAAAAAGGGTTGCTTTTTAAGGGTTGAAATATGATGGAACTCTATTCAAAAGTATAAAATAATCATTATTTAACTAATTTAAACCAAATCTTACCCATATTCAGGTTTAATATGTTATTTTATAATTTTTGACAATTAGGGGTAGTTTTCACCCCTAAAACCCTTCAGCGCACTTCGGTTCGATATAGATTTTGATCCTTGGGCTATCACCTACCTTCTGTTAAAATTTCGACTGGATAAATGCAGGACGAAAAAATTGCGAAGTTTTAACTTTTTTCGAGCTTCATTTCCTGAACTATTATCGCTTCCTTAGACAAACCCGTCTTACGCAAACAACATTGTTACGAGACAGATAGTTGAACGATATTTTATACAATGTCTATACCCAGGTATGGATTTATTTTTGTCCAAGTTTTATATTGGTCCACTATTTCAAATGCAGTTCAAACAGACATGTGTTAAATTGTATGTTCCGTTTTAATTTGGTTCAATCTGTATACTAATAATATAGGCACTCGTTTTGTATGCAAATCCGTTCAATTTAAAAATTTTGTGCAGAGGAAATACTGTGAATAGGTAAATAGTAGATTTAGCGTATTCTGATTTACTGTCACTCACAAGGCTTGTATAAAAACAAAAGTTCGACAATTAATATCGAATATCAATGGTGACGATGCAAATTGCAAGTTATGAGATAATAAATATATTTTAAAGAGTCATCTATTTAATAATATAAAAATAATTTAGATATATGCTGACATATTTATGTCTATACAAATATCCACTTCGCAAGGGCTTAAAACATTTGGTGGGTAAAATTTAATATCGCCCGTATCCCAGAAGAGCGCGTAAAAAATTACCAGTAAGGCGCGCCTGTGTCTGAGACTTGTGTGTATTTGTAGTGTTGAGTTACTGTTTATTTATATTGTATAGTATTTTTTGTAAAACTAAAAGTTTTTACTTGTCATTTTGTATATCTGGTTTTATACCTTTTTCAAAATGCGCTGTGCAGTTGCTTGTTGCAATAGTGACAATGAAGATAAAATCTTTAGGTTTCATACATTTCCTAAAGATAGTTTGACCAGAAAACTGTAGATAATATCTTGTTGTAGACAGGATAAGTTTAATTGTAATATTGCAAGAATTTGTTCTAAACATTTCAAAACTGAAGATTACCAAAGAAATCTACAACGGGAACTTTTAAATTACGTTTCTAAAATGGGAACTTAAACCGGGGGCAGTACCTAGTCTTTATTTGCCTAAATCAATATCGGCTACCCTTTCAATCAACCAAAAGAAACGCATACAAAGAGACGTACACAGAGAGTCCAAAAAGTATGTTGAGCAGCTTCTTACTACTTCTAAGTCAACGACGTAAGTCTAAATCTTTATTTTTATTAATCATTAGTCATGAAAAATAAAAAATATCAATGCATGAAACAATCAATTTTTATTCATAGAAAGGACAAACGTTCTTTCTTTTCTTTTCAGTAGGTATAATGGTTAACATTATTCAAAAAGGATATTACTTACCTATCTTTCTAAGAAAATGATAAATAAACCTCACATCAGATGCATCGCAACCATCTACATGCATGGTAGCTGGCATTAATTCACTATTTGTTTTAGTCTTAATAAAAATATGTTATTTTTTCAGTCAACTCAAAGTTCAAGCTCAAGAAGGATATTGTAGTCATCTTAATATTGAATATGTACCATCAATATATAAGTCAATAGGGTATGTTAATAATAATTCCAGTAGAAACTTGATTGTTTTCTAAAACTTATTTAAAACAGTATGCAGACTAATGTGTTTAATTTTTAGGGTAAACACTACTCCTACCAATGAGGCTTTGGAACTTGCAAATTCGAAAGAAAAAATTAAACTTTTAAATGAACAAGTAGCTGAACTACCTCAGATAAAATCAGCAGTAGAGAAACTTTTTACACCGAGACAATTAAAACGTTTGCAAAACCCAAAAATTCGTACCGTATGGTATGTGGAAGAAATATCCCAAGCTATATCCTTACATTCAACTGGTACTAAAACATACCGTTTATTTTTTTTATGATTAAACATTATAATAACATAATTTTATCATGTCTTTATAATTACTATAAATAAATTAGCCAAATTATATAAAAAAAACTTTTACCGATTAAAAAAGAACCGATTTTGGAACATTATGTATCATACCTCTTGTATTCATTGTACCATGTGTGGAAACGGTCTGAGCGTGATAGGCTGGGGGACTTAGGGGGGTGGGGTCACCCTGTTGCCGGCAGTCTTTTAGCGTTATCGCCCGTGTTTAAGCTTTTAGGGCGTTTTTCAATTTCACGAATAATTTTCGACTTTAAGAAGCGGATAAGAGCGATGGGTTTTTGCTTTTTCGAAATCTATTTTGTGACCTGTTTGAATATGATGTTGGGCTAGGGCTGAAGTAGTGTTGGAATGTTTTACATATACAGAATGTTCATAAATACTGTTGTCCATTCGTCGGTTTATCTGCCCTATGTGTGTATGTCGGCAATTGGAACAAGGTATCTTGTCTTCATTGGGATTTGGTCTTTCAGGGATCTGACGAGATTGGACAACTTGGAGAAAGTAGTGAAGATGATTTTGATGTTTAGAGGGTTAAGAGTTCTACTGATCTTGTCAGTGACACCTTTAATAAAGGGTTTAAAGATTTTGGGATGAATGAGTAGACTATCTTGTTCTCAAAAACCTAAAATATATAGGAAGTGATGATATCATGAGTGAAACCAGCGATTATGAAATTCATACTGGGTCTTAATCCTTGTGTGAAGGTAATGACGAGATTTATAATATTCTACCCATGCAAAATATCGCCAATGATACATTTTATCATCTTATGATTAAATAAACTTATACCTATGCCAAAGAAGTTCATAGGATAGCAGATGGAGGAAACAGAAGAATGTATATAAGTACATGTATTTTAAATTAAAATTGTTACTTACCCAGAAAAAGTCTTAAGTGGTTCATATAAAATCAACAATGTTGGTTCATAATATCCGTGAAGAAATTGTATATCAATTATGTTATCAATCTTTTCAAGAAAATCTTTCAACAGGATCATGTAAGATGCAAGAATTGGAGCTTTAGCAGTGCTAGTGTTTGAAGCCATAGGTTTAACATCACCATCACTGTCATCTATTGAAGTATCCCTTCGAAAAGGTAAAACTACCAATTTTCTACCAAACACTGTCATCACGGCACATCTATTTTCAGGATCTACACGAATTAGGGGAACATGATGATGATGTGTCCAACCATCCTATTAAAAAAATATCATTCAATAAAACATGTGAGTATTGAACTATAAGTAATTATATTGTTGATTTTTTTATGGTTTGGCACATTGGTCATACAAGGTTATTATTGAAATTTGTAGTGCTCTCTTGAAATATCATTTCAATCATGCTTTTCACGATCTTCCAATCCAGGTCTTTTTGGCAAAGCTAATTTTCACTTACAATTGCACAGAATTAGCCTCAATTCAACTAAGATGCGCAATTTGTTGGCGTAGATTACCAGTTCGGCAGAGGATCTCTTGGTCAGCATATAAAACAACAATTGATTGGCTTCTTCAAAACCCAACCCTTTACAAACTCTAGCCTGTTGAGCGATGCAATGGGCTGCGGAGAGGTCTTCCGAAATGTTAAAACCATTATCTCTTTAGTTCAGGGGTCAGCTCTTAACCTTAGTTCGAGTCGATCGTCGTGCGAATCGAATAAAATAATAAACATAACATATATAAAGTAGATAGATATATTCTTGAATTATCCGAAATTATCCAAAAAATTGTTCAATCCGAAAATTATCCGATGGTCTATCTATTTTAATAGTACTCATCCGAAAATAAACCCAGAATATCCCGCCAATAGTAGCATCCGAAAAGAGAAAGTGAAACAGTTGAAAAATCAATTAGTTAGGCAGCAGTCTGTATTATTACAAGTCAGCGATAATACTAAAGCCACCACTCTAGCTTCTTACAAAGTGTCTCAAGTTATTGCCAAAAAGAAGAAACCCTTTGAAGATGGCGAGTACATCAAAGAATGTTTTGTAGAAGCTGCAAACTGCCTATTTGAAGGTTTTAAAAATAAATACGAAATAATGTCGGCTATGAACTTCCTCCAGCTTTCAGCGCACCGTAACTTGACGAGTGGAAAATATGTCAGATGTTATTTCCCAGATGAAGACGGACTTACAGCGATGTATTTTCTTCTCCTTACAATTTTGACGAGTCCACAGATATTAGTGATAGCCAACTAGCCATATTTGTCAGAATGATATTCGATGATTTTCATTTACAAGTAAGAGCGCATGCTTTGCACAGAAGACAGTTCCGAACTCTAATTGCAGAAATGAATCTAGAATACGGAGAATTGCTTCTGCATAAAGAGATACGCTGGTTAAGCAAGGGGAAGATTCTTCAGAGCTTTTATGAGCTCCTACCAGCTTTAATCGCTTTTCTTAAGGAGCGTAAAGAAGACTACTCAACATTAGAAGAACCTACATGGTTGAGAGATTTTGGATTCTTGATCGATGTCACAGGAAAGCTGAATGAGCTAAATTTGCAGCTTCAGGATAAAGAAAAAAGTATTCTATAAATTATTTCCGAAGTAAAATCATTCATTGCGAAACTTGAACTATGAGAAACAAATCTACTGGAAGAAAATTTAAAACATTTTCCTTGTTAAAAGAAGTAATCAAATAAGCATCAAAAAGTATCAAAAGTAATCAAAAAAGAAGTAGTAAACGTTCAACCTTACACAGGAGAGGGGCATATAGAAATATTGACCAGACTAAGGCATGAATTCGATACCCGATTTAGTGACTTCAGCAAAATTGAAGCGATTGCTCAGTTTTTATCTCATCCGTACATGCCCCTCGATGCAGAAAACTTATCCCAAACCATAGAACAGCATTTCAGCGAAAGCAGACGAGAGACTGAATTAGAAATAGTCACACTGCAGAATGATTTGTGTTTGAAGAGCGTTGCCGGAAAAGAACATTTTTGGTGTCTAGTGTCCAAACAGAAATACCCAATCCTAGGCAATGTAACTTTGAAAATTAGTGCCCTGAATTAGAATCTTTCTATCACACAGAAGGCACAGGCACCGGCACAGGTTCAATATCTACCACCAGTGAACACCTAGAATTTTTAAAATATCTGAAGACCTGTGGTCAACGTTATCTGAATAAAATGGGTAACTTGGGTAAAACAGGTATAATAATAGACAATTAAAGCATAATAGACTTCCTTATTGCATTCTCCTAAACTGAACTAATGATATCAAGAAGTCTATTACCATATTCGTATCAATAAAATATACTATACTTTAATCGGAAAATACAATGGAGTGACTAATTTTTAATTTCTGGAGCGTTGCGGTATACAAGGGGACGGACGTCAGCTCTTTACACTTAAACCAAAGACGTCCTAATTTTATGAAAATATTTAAATTAGTAAACAAAATTAAATAAAAAGAAAAAAGAAAAGGTGTTTAGTTGTGTACGTCAAAAGTATTCTTAAAATTCAACAGAATATTCCCAAATAAATTTGAAGCATGCTGTAACCAAGTAAAATTTTTATTATGACTTAAGTTAATCTGAACCTTGCTATATAAAAACATCCTCATTTTCGGTTTAGTTGTAGAGAAATAATGCACCCATTTAACATTTTAAAGTTATACCGTTAAAACTGATATAATAATAAACTAAACCTTATTGCACAATTTAAATAACGTCTTACGCACAAGAATTACAAAACTAACTCTTACTCAAAATCAGAATTATCCGAATCATCGCTCTCGTCATCAAGTTGGACTGTAAGCGGTTCCGTAGTTACATCTACCTATATATCTACATCCCACATCTTATTTTCTATTTTCTCCACGTGACCGATGCACTTTCGCCTGTTGTCTGCGGTAACGTTACGTATAGCTGCATCGAATAGTTATTTAACATCATATAATTTAAATGTAGTATTGCGACGTGCTACCTCTGTTTTCACTTGTGCCCAAATACATTCAATTGGATTCAGCACACAATGATATGGTGGTAATCGATGAACAAGAACTCAGTGACTAAGAGCCATTTCGTCAACAACATATTTATGTTTATGTTGTTGTGCAATATTTAACAACTCAGGTTTAATCATTGATCATTGCGCCAGCTTGTTGTTGGAAGCTTTTCTACCTGTCGACTATGGTAGGGAGTATTATCTAAAATTATTACCGAACCCGGTTCTATTGTCGGTAATATGGACGAAAATCAAGTTTCTCTGAGCGTCTATGTCCTCGTGATAGTCATCAGATTTTTTTGACTCAAAACATAAAAGTCCACCAGGAAGAAAACCAGACTCACTACCAATGTGTGTGATAATTAGACGTCGGCCTTTACCTGATGGCGCTTTAAGGCCTGTGGATAATCCATGAACAAATGCTTGCCTACTGATTGTAACATTTAAATCGTGCCAAACCTTGTTTACAGTATGGTCTTCATTTAGCCATGTCTCATCTAAATAATAAATTTTTCTCTTCTCGGAGCGATATTGACGATTTTTTTTATATAATTGCGTCTCAATATAACGACTTCACTTTTTTCTATGAGACTGCTTTGCCTACATCGTTTCATATATTTGAAATTAATTAAATGAAGTGTGCGAAGTAATACTTCTCGTGAAATTTTTGGCAAACTATCGTCAATGTCGATTTCTGCAGAGATTTTCTTCAATGTGAGAATTTCATTCCCAAAGAAAAACGAATGAATTTTTGACGAATGGCTCTTTGTATTTCTTCATCTAAAACGATCACCTTCCTTCCTCTTGTTTCGGTGATTGGCTCTTTGACTTCTTTCTTATTTTCTTTTATAATCTTATAGATACTGCTTTTCGAAACTTTCCTCAAGAAACCGGAAAGAGAAACAGCATCCGAAACACCCATATTTTCACTTTTTTTAAGTCCATTAAAAACATTCATAATGGTTTTTACCTCCGGAGTTAAAACACATTTTGTATTTATTTAAAAAATTAATATAGCTACCCAACATATTGCAAGTCTATTATGTAAATAAACTGAAACAGCGTTTGTTGATAATATTTAAAAGTTACCATCTCCCTTTTAAAATATTTGTGAAAATTTACTCCAAAAGACGAATCTAATATCCAGTAACAACAATGAAGTCGATGGGAATGATATAGAAACAGTAGATAGGTAAAAGTACTTATGACAGTTAAGATACGAAAATCATACTCATCGAGTACCATTTGAATAAAGGCCACGAGAAGACAGAAGAAGAATAGGATGTCCCCAACATGCTGTACGGATGATTTAACAAAGGTAAATATTACCTGAATGAAAGAGGTGCAAAATATTAAAAAGTGGAAGCGAATAGAAAAATAAAAAATAAAACCAAAATGGCTTGGCAATTGGTAAAAGAGATTAAGGGTAATTCCAAAAATCAAAGTAATTTCTTTTTGGAGGGTGGCCCTTAGGTGCTTTCTAATGAAATAAATCAATTTATGGCAAATGCGCCGTCATAAGCTGTAAAGAAAATAAAGCATGTAAAAATTTTTCAAATTAATATCGAACAAACTAATCATTGCATGTTTTTAACTCGTTTCAGAGAAATAAATAAGTCACATATTAAATAACTTAAAAAACAAGCATAGCTCTGGTTATGATGAAATATCAACCAACTTAATTAAATATGTTTCACCAGAGATTTCTCTTCCTCTTCCTTTTATAGTTAATGCTTCTTTCAGGAAAGGTAATTTCCTCAAAATTTACTACTGGCAATTGTCAAGCCACTTCATAAAAAAGGTGATGTTACTAAGATGGAGAACTATAGATCAGTAAGCCTTCTTCCATCATTCTCAAAAATATCTGAAAAAGCAATATATTCCATACTACAAAACTTTTTTACTACAAACAACTTATTTAGTAGTTCACAGCATGGTTTTCTCGCAGGGAGATCTGTTGAGACAGCTACCTATGATTTTATATCAAAAATTTTAGAAAAACTGGAGGCAAAGATTAAAACAATGGGTGCTTTTTTGGGCCTATCTAAGGCTTTTGATAGCCTAGATCATGTTCTTTTATTACAAAAATTACATCTTTATGGAATACAGGGACCAGCATTAAAATGGATAAAATCATTTCTCACAGATAGGTCGCAAAAGGCATGATTGGAGAAAAGGGGATGTAAGGTTTACTCTGAACTGATCAATTTAAAATTAGGTATACCACAGGGAGTGTTCTGGGGCCTTTTCTCTTTTTGGTCTACATAAATGACGTTCCAAATGTGGTGGTTAGTAGTTCCTCAAACCTCGTAAATTTCGCTGATGACTCAAATGTGCTTTTCTGGGAAAAAACTTTCTCACTCTTCTCAGAGTGGCACACTCCTCACATTAGCAGAGCAACTTTCATGCAAGGCTGAACAGTGGTTCAGTGGAAATCAGTTGTTGCTTAATACTGATAAGACAGTTTTTGTCTACTTTAAAAGCAGCCAGTCACAAGAACAGTTTCTAGATACAATTAATTTTCTATAAGAAAACACAGAACCTACTACATCAGTTAAATTTCTTGGTATTCATATTGACCAAAATCTGAGTTGGGGGGAACAAATGCAAAATACAACAAAAAAACTGAATAGAGCCTGCTACTCATTAAGAGTGTTAAAGAGCTATCTAGACCAGGGGATTTCACTATCAGTATATTATGCAAACTTTTATTCTGTTATGTGATATGGAGTAATCTTCTGGGGTGCTGCAGTAGATAGCTCAACTGTCTTTATAGTCCAAAAAAGGCAGTCCAAGTGATCTTAGGACTAAAGGCAGGAGAATCCTGTAGAGGCTGATTCAAGTCACTCAATGTACTCACTTTCTCAGCCATCTATATATTTGAATGTATTATGTTCCTTTTTAAAAATTTTTCTTTGTTTTATCACCTGCTTCCCAATCATGAATATAATACAAGAAGCCTTAATTTGAATTAGCCACTTCACAGATTGTCTATAACAGAGTGAAGTCCTTTGTATGTGTGTGTAAAATTTTATAATAGTCTACCATCTGACATTAAACAGGAAACACTATAGAGCTTTTAAAAGAAAGGTTTTTCAACACCTAGTTGACATTGAGCCCTATACTGTGGCGGAGTGCCTGGCCTATCCTTCTCCTTGATCAGCATATGTAATTTGTAATGATAATATATTTTAAATGTGTGATGTCAATATATATATATTTTTTTAATCTGTAATTAATAATGTGACGTTATTTGCTCAATTACGTTTAAAAATTTATGCAAATAAAAATTTACTCTACTCTACTCTAAAATAGAGGAGGTCTATATTCGGCAGTGGACATCACAGACTGCAAGATGACTCCAAAACCATATATTTGAAATAAAGACTAAAAATTCTCTCATTTTTAAAAAAAATTGCAACACTTTATTAATGACTACAAAACATACACTTATATGTTAGATCAAATTGCTTATCCTATGACCAATGTACCTAATGTTTCAAATGAATAACCTCTTATTGTTTATAATTAAAAATACCAATCCCAGAGCTATCTAAATGTCTTTGAAAATGTCTATATGAATGACTCATGGCTTCAAGAGAAATTATGCCATTGGTAGATCTTTCTAGGAATGCCGCATATTGACATAACATTAGAAGAAATGATATAAGGAAATTCCATAGCGATAAAAGGTCATTCTGAAATAAATATTTGCAATGTAAACATACATTGTATAACATAAATTAATTAGTAATGTTGTAAGTAAAGTTTAAACAATCGAGTGGTAGTTTCCTGTTGCAATATTTTACAAGCAGAGAAAATCTGTATGCAATTTGTTGACTGCCAGTATTAAATAAAAAATATTATAATTCACAAAGAAGTGATTGAAAATATCCACTTACCAAAGTTAACATACAAACTATATACATACATTGTTAATAACCACACAAACACCAAACACTTCACAGACAATTTATAAAAATAAATATAACAAGTTAAGAAGCAATAGATATGGCAGTTACGCTACTGATAGTAACTCATCATAGTAAAACAATTAATCTATTAATAAGCTGGCCACTTCGTTTCGACACTACAGCTGTTCGGGAGCCAATCGTTGGCATTTGTTACTCAAAAACGTGATTTAATGTTCAAAATTAATCATATACTGTGTCGCTGGTGTTTAGTTCAAATCACAGTTTTATTAAAGCGGACTGTCCGTCTGTCTAGTTACACAGAATAATTTACATAAAATTACTTTAATTAAAATTTGCTGTATGTTCAAGTTGTGGTCCTGTACTAAGTATTTATCACTCTGTTGTATTTTCTGATCAGGGTATAAGTGGCATTCAAAAATTTATATACTTTGTGGAGCAACGTGTAATATTACCTTCATATCATCTTCTTCAAAATAATGCAAACTTAAGGTCCTTAGGTCATGGTTTTCAGGATCATACTCCACTACAGAAAGTTTTGCATCTGAAAAACCCAAAAGCAATGCATCTCTTTGACAACTTGTCAAAGAAACACTTTGGATTGACATAATATTGCCAAAGAGTGTGTAATGAGCTACACATTCTAGCTTCGATTTTGGAGGATAAAATTCTGAAAATTCAAAACAGTAATATGTTAGGAACTATTTCTAGTCATAACGTGAATATGTCAAAAAATAATCTCAAATCACTATACAATAGGATCTAACTACTGTTTACTTAATATATTATAATTACCAGAATATCTTTCTGATCTCAGTCGAGAATCTATATCAGGAACTAATTTGTATATTTTCAGAACATTAGCGCCTGCTGTGACCAAACATTTTTCTACCTTGTTAAAAAAATAACACGAAATTGCATGTTCTACAGCTGTAGCAGGATGGTTTTGTCGACAAATTGAAAACATTTTTATAAATTTGATGTATTTTTTAATATTTTACATCAGAATCAGAATTCATATTTCAAGAATACATGCAAACGGTAAACATCAACATAACCTTCGTCTACCTAAAACCTAATTCTTCTTTTTTGATCGTCACTTGTTTTTCAGCTATCAGCTTATTTTTATTTCTCTATGGCTATCAGCTAAAAAATATTTTTTTATTTTAAATTTATTTTGTCTACTCTACACTGTCCTCTATTAGTCCAGTCACAGAGTTTTGATACCTAAAAATAATAAGAACAAGCTGATTTCGGATGAATATCAATTTTGGGACCCCAAAAAAGATGCAAAAAAGTTTATCACTTTTATCCCCCGGGATTCTCCCTAAATCCCCCTTCTAGGAGGGTAAAAATTTTGTTATAATTGTAAATATTGAATTTATTAAATATTTTCATAGATCATGGTAAGGTCACAGAATAATAAACAATCAGAATGCCCACTCTGCTTAAAAATATAAGTATACTCGGTTCGCTATTCCCAGTCCCAACTGTCTAGAGAATTTAGTATTCTCCATTCGCTTAGCTCGGGCATATTTTGACAGAATCATTGTAGGTAACCTACAACATAAAAATTCCTACTTCTCAGTATTAATAGCTCAAATATACTACTATTGCAGATTTCTTCCTTTAAAAAAAGAAGAATTATTCCAAAAGTGGAAGTGTATACTAAACCCACAAAATTTTCCCTGTATATTTAAAATATAATATTTGAGTTGTTACAATTGAACATATTGTAGTAAATATTTGTATTATTCACGTTGTTTATTTTAGCTAATATGTTTTATTGTTCCATTATTTTTGTTTAATTCCTTGTTAGTTCTATTTTGAATGTTATTATTAGAGAGAGTCAAAGTTTTCCATTTGTTCTATCAGATAATGCGTTGGTAAGTTTTTCTTAAATAAATATAAATATGATAAATGTTCTTTAAAAGTTAATATTTATAGATGAGTAAGGATGCTGTTAAATTAAGAAGTAATCAAACTGCAAAAAGATTTATTCAAAACACCAACCATTTTTGTTTAATTATTTGCCCATTCGGCGTAGGTGGATCATTAAAATATATTTATAAAATTATGTAAATATGTTCTTAATAACAAAAACATTTCAGTTAACATCCAGTTCAGTTTGACATGGCGTCAAAAATTAAATAAAAGTTACAGTAATTTAGTTTATATCGTTAAATTGCTCCAAATGTAGGCAACCAACTTAAACTTTTTGTTAGGATTTAGCTGGAGTTTCTTGAGAATATTTTTAATAAACGTTTATTATTTTCCAGTTAATTTATTATTTTTTAAAAGTGATGATGATAATGCTGAATAAGCAATATTTCAAATGATATTTAATCACAAAACGTACTTAATATTGTGTTATTGTAAAATCCTCATAATAAAGTACGTTAAATAAAAAAGGTAAAATCCCGGATCGTCCAAAACTAGTTTCTAATAGGAATAATAGAAGATTATGATTTGTTTTAATTATATTTTTGATGATATTGGATTATGTTTTTGATGAATGATATTTTTGAATTATAATATGAATATTATGATATTTTTTATCTAACCTACTTTATAACACAATATTAAGTACGTCCTGTGATTAGATATCATTTGAAATATTGCTTATTCAGCATTATTATCATCACTTTAAAAAATAATAATAAATTAACTGGAAAATATTAAATGTTTATTAAATATATTCTAAAGAAACTCCAACTAAATGCTAAAAAAAGTTTAAGTTGGTTGCCTACATTTGGCGCAATCTAACGATATTAAACTAAATTACCATAACTTTTTTTATAAAACATATTTTTTATATATAATAGAAACTTACATTCTATATACATGCTATAAATTTATAATTCATAGTATAAGTTTGCAAATAAGGTCGACGAAATACTCTTATGAAATGCGCTATGAGCACGTGTACTTGGTTGTATAATAATTTCCAGCCACTTCTAGTCTGTCAAAAAGTAACTAACTTCGTAAAAACATAATTACTAAAATCACTAGACAGTTCGGACTGGCATTAGCGAACCGAGTATAATTACCAATGACGTATAATATATAGACTACGCAGTCCCCTATTCTCGCTATAGAATCGAGTGTCCGAAAGATCTCGGCTCAAGGTTGAAGGTATGTTTATTACAACAGCGGCGTGCTCATTTATATGTTAATGACAATAATTATTTTTTTAATTAAAATTAAATATTTATGATTTCTTTTTGTTCCCGTCTATAAGAGAAATAATTATTTTGATAAAATAGTATGGCATTTTACTAAAATAGTAAGTAAATAACTATCAACAATTTAAAATAAAATTTGCTTGTCACACAAAATGGAGTACGTCCATGATGTTTTCAAACACAAGATCAACTTCGTGATGCTTCGTAAGAAATCATGAACTTCGTGCATCTTCGTATCAAAACAATAAACAATAACAAAGGTATTCATGTTTTGGACACTTTTTAAAGCGTTCACCGAGTCTATATATTATACGTCATTGATAATTACTTTAGTATTTTTGCGAAGTTAGTTAATTTTTGACAGACTAAAAGTGGCTGGAAAACCAAGCACACGTACTCATAGCCAATATTAATAGTAAACAAACTAAATAGTAAATAAAATAGAACTTTGCGAATTACCGACAATCAATACTTATTTATCTGCAAAATATAATAAATAGTTATGTTAAATTATAACAACTAAAATATATTTTTTAAATATATACTACCCAAAATTTGATGGGTTTAGTATACACTTCCACTATTTAGAATAATTCTGCTTTTTTCAAAGTAAGAAGTCTGCAATAGTAGTATACTTGAGCTATTAATACTGAGAAGTAGGAATTGTTGTGTTGTAGGTTTCCGACAATGAATCTGTCAAAATATGCCCGAGCCACAGAATAATAAAACAATCAGAATGCCCACTTTCACATGCCGCCTTTGAAGTTTTTCAGCACGCGCCCCATGTTTTAGAAGGAAACACATAACACAGACATATGATTTCTGAGGTTATGTAATTGTTTATATTTATGTTTAATTGTATTATATTTATGTTATTATATTTAACAATGTTAATATAAGGTTTGTTCCTACAAAGAATCAGAAACTAGTTCAGGGCAGTTTCTGACTGCTGCACAATACGCATGTGCGAATTTAACCAGCCGCGAACTAGTTTGTGATTTTTGTTGGAACAATATCCTATCGAGCTGGCAAGTTGCCTATATTAAATAAACAAATTTTGTGTTATTTTATTCGCTGTAACAAAGTAAATTGTTTCTTCTTTAAAATGGAAAACAATGAGGAAGGTAAATCTTTATAATTATTATTATCATGCAGTTACCTATAATAAATACTAATTTGTTTTAGATATGGAAGAAATTATTATTTACCATGAAAACCATGTTGAAGATAGTAGTGTTAAAACTGTAGACTATGTGGTCTGGACCACCAATCAGTCTAAAGTATTAATAGATTTATATAAGAAATATAAACCTAAGGTTGGAACTCTCCAAATAAGAAATTTAAAAAAATTATGGGAGATTATAGCCAAGGAAATAAATAAAAATTTACATATAAATGTGTCCCCGTCGCATTGTGAAAATAAATGGCGTGTATTGGAAAGGGGATACAAAAAGTTCGTAGATAATCAGAATAAAACAGGTAGAGGACGAAAATTTTTTGAATTCAAAGATGAAATGGACAGTATATTCAAAAAAAAAACGAAATATTCATCTCGAGATACTTCTATCTGCTACAAAAGTTATTGAAATGTGTCGTTGACTTCAGATGTAGTTCTAAAGGAGACTGAAACTCAAGAAGTAGAGAATACTGACAGCCCAGTTCCAGTTACCCACACCGCTACATCTGCACCTAATACCAATACAAAGCATCCAATTCTAAATAGAAATAGAATATTGGAAAATATGAGAATAGAGAGAGCAGAATATTATAAGGAAAGGCTCAGTATTGAAAGGGATAAGCTAGTGGTTCATAGAGAAAAACTAGAAGAGATAAAAAGGCGAAATCTATTACTTGAGAAGCAAAACCAATTACTTGAGAAGCAGAACCAACTACTTGAAAAGCAAAACAAACTTAGGGAAAATCCATAAGATTAATTTATATGTATAGTATTGTTTTTCTGAATAAATATTTTGTTACTTTAACTGTAAAAATCATAATAATTAAAAAATAAAGTATTTTAAAATTTTTATTGTTCTAACAAATTTAAAATTTGATTTCGAACTGCAGCACCATTTCTGTCATCAGGTTCATCATCAGGATCATTATTGTCCAACTGTAAATCAGGTGCTGCTTCATTATTGCCTGCAGGATTGTTTTCATATAAAAATTCATCATTTAATGAAATATTATGCAAAACACAACTTGCTCTTATTAAATGTACACAATCAGCTATAGAGCGTAATTTAAGATGGTATAACTGCCTAAATTTTTGTTTGAGGACTCCTATGCAATGCTCTACTAAGTACCGGTTAGCACACAGTTTTGAATTATAATTTATTTGGGCCCTACTTAACTGCCCCCGGTCTCTAAAGGGTGTTAATAAATTGGGCAATACAGGATATCCACTGTCTCCTAATATATAATAATTTCCACATTTTTCTTGTAGTGTCTGAGACAATGGAGAACTGCGGAATACTCGACTATCATGTACAGAGCCCGGGTAACCAATAAATATGTCTCTGATTTGTAATTCATGGTCACATACCAATTGTAACTAAAACATAACATAGAATAAATACATTTTATTACTGTACAGTAAAGAAAATTACCTGAATCGAATAAAATCCTTTTCTATTTATGTAAGAATCTGGATCATCCTTTGGTTTGTCAATCTTGATATGTGTACCATCAATTATCCCAATTACACCTAAGAAACCATTCGTAAGAAAAGACATTCTCAATTTTAACTTTTTCTTCATCGGTTGGCCATTTTATTATATGACTTGAGCAGTAGCTCAAAAAGTAAGTCACTTTTCGTATCACTCTAGACAAAGAACTTATTGTAATGTTGAAGCGGTCTGCAACATCTCTAAAACTAGCCGTTTGATGGCCTATATACCATAAAAAAATTAAAACTTGTTGCATTGCTGACAATTTACCATATGGTCCTGCATGTATTTTATAGTAGTCACTATTTTGAAACTGTTCAGCTATGGACTCAGTAACATGCCGACTTATTCGAAAATGCTCCTTAAACTCTGTTTCATTGTATTGGGAAACAGTTGTTTCAAAATAGTTTCTATTTTTAGGGCGAATTCTATCTTCCAATACAATTTCTTCCAAGTCATCACTGGAGTCGCTCATAGAGGATAATGACGAATATTCACTGTCACTCATTGTTTTATAAATTATAATATCAAAAGTATAAAACACTAAAATACAATATTATGTATGTACTTAAAACAACAAAATTACCAAAACAAAGGTACCTATTTAAAATTAAAAATAAACAGTGTAGGTGTGAGTAAATCAAAATTCGACTAATTGCGCATGTCTGTGATTACCAGTTTGCAAAAAGTTCGGAAACTTTTCAAACTGTCAGGAACTAATTTCAAACTGGTTTTATATTTCATGGAACAGTGTACTTTGTTGACAAGGTATCAGAGAAAATCTTGTTGGAACGGCGAAATTATTATTGCGCATGCGTCTGACAGTCGGCGACAGTTTGAAACTTCTGTAGGAACAAACCTATAATTATTGTATAGTATGTCTATGATTGCCGTAAGTCAATTAAACCGGGTTAATTTTTCTATGCACACCACATAAACAACACTGGTTCCCTCTAAAACATGGCGGAACGTCTGCGCGAAGGAGATGCGTGTACTTAATTTTCCATGGAAAGTGGGCATTCTGATTGTGTATTATTCTGTGCTTATACAACTTGATTTATCAAAAAAAAAATATACAATTACAAACTACCTCACCAAGAATTTAGCAAGTTACATTATTTTTAAACACTTTTTAAATACAATTGTACTGATTCGACGATTTATTATGTGTCTTCTCTATGGATGATCATCAGTACGGTCGTAAATACACACGAAGTCTTTAATTCGGATTCGGACAAATTCAATTATTATATCTAAAGAGAAGAAATTGACAGTTTGCGTTTGCTTTATTTTTTGCACGTGGTTGACGTGTGAGTGTGAGTGAATATAAATATAACCTATCTGTTAAAGGTATTTACAATGTCTCGTTTAATAGTAAAAAATCTCCCTAAAAACGTAAGTCAATTATAATATATAATTTTATCATTTATACAAAAATAATTTTCATAATTTTAGATCACAGAAGAAACTATACGACAAATATTTAGCCAAAAAGGAACTGTCACTGATATTCAGTTAAAATATACACCAGAAGGTAAATTCCGAAAGTTTTGTTTTGTGGGATACCAGAATGAGTTAGAGGCGGAAGAAGCAATTCAATCCCTTAATAATACATTTATCAAAACAAGTAAAATCACAGTTGAAAACTGTGTTGCCTTAGGTAAGCCTAATACATAATTTCTAATTAATAATCTTTGCTAGAGGAATAAATATATCAAACATTAGAATAGTATGTATTATAGCTATTGTAATGCTCGTTGTTCAAGGTTATTATTTTTTAAATAGGCGATAAAAGCAAACCCAAGGCTTGGAGTAAATATGCCCAAGATAGTGAGCAATTTAAGAAAAATAATAAAAAGGAAACAGAGCCTGAAAATAAAGAAGTTAATGAACAGAAGAAAACAAAAAAGAAACATAAATCAGATGAAGCAGAACAATTATTAGAAAAGGTATGTATTTATCATATTTATTTTACATTTCTACAAACACTAATTCTCTATTTTTGTTGAGAATTAGCAACAATTTTACTTTAAAATATGTTTAATTGACGTTTCAATTTCCACTTCGGAAATTGTTCTCAAAATACTGTTTAAGAACCATTCCCAACAAAAATAGTAATTTTTTTTTAAATAGGTATTTTGAAAATATTTTGGAAATGGAAATCAAACTTTATTCAAACTTAAGTATTTTAAAGTAAAATTTTGACTTATTCCCAAAAAAAATAGTAGATTAAGATTCCACATCAAAATAGCTTAAATACAATTTAAAAAAAAACTAATTATATTGTCAAAATTATATTTTAATAATATGCATATTTGTTCTTATTAATATTGAGCACTGATAAACCCTATACTTATTCATATTGATAAAGTGTTTGCTAGTCCTATTGACAGTCATAAATGATTGGTCCTTTTTTTTGAATACTTATACATACCAATCAAAATAGGATGGTAGTGCTTAAGAAATGTAAGTGCCTGCTATGTATATGTTCTATAAGATTCAGGTGTAGTGGTAGCATTATACATGCTAGGATCATACAAACTTGTGAAAATTGTATTAGTAACACATTATTCTACTTGGTAAAACACATACTAAAATTCATAAGACCTGCATATAATATTTTTAAATAAAACAAAACTTAAACTGTATTTGTGAGTAAATATTGTTCAAAAAATCAAATACTATCATTCTCTTTGCCTTTATAGCTATGTGGGGTCAGCTTCCCAAATTAGATCTCTCCATAGGTTTCTATTGTGGGTCATATTAATATCAACCCCTTTACTGACATGTCATGGCTAAGCATATCCCTCTTTCTGTATTTCCTACTAATACTACATCATCAGCATACCTTAAGCACCAGGGAATGTTCCAGTTTACTTATGATGTATGCCCAGGTGGCAGAATCGAAAGCATTCTTTACATCTAATATAACAAGGATTGCCCATTTATTTCTTGTTCTTGTCACTATGTCAGATATAAATTTCACTGTGTCTGTAGGAGTTTTCTTAAAACCTTAAAAAGCTGGTCAGAAATGGTCATGTTCAAGACAACGGAGGCTTTCATAAAATTTCCCAATATAATCTAATAAACATGTAGGCCTGTATAAACTATCCCCATCCGGTGGTTTTACAGGATTAAGGGTATTTTCCAGGATTTGCAATCTTCAGTTGATCTGGGAATTCTTAGTTGTGAAGGAGCTCATTCAATACCTTTCTGGCCACTTCAGGATTTTCCTACACTATAATCTGTATTACTTCTGCTGGCGCAGCATCAGATCCAGGAGATCTACTGATTTTTATATTTTCAACAGTTAATCTGATTTCTTCTATGGTAAACTTGTCAGGTCTATTATCTATATTGTATGGTAGAAATTGGCATTCAGGCTTATTAGGAAAAAGGGTTTTGGCAATTTTTTTTCTTTTTTCTATACAAAAGTTATAGACCTCAGTGTCTTAGTGGCAGTTGTATAGGCTTTTCCCCATCTATTGTTGTCGAGCGCATCTCATAGGTTATTATAGCCTGTGCGTTTAGCCTGCTTTATTTCTTTATTTAATTCTTATATTCTTCAAAGTTTTCTTCTGTTTCGTTCCTGTGTGCTATTTACCTGGCTCTGAAGTACTTTGTTCTTTTGAGCTGTATTTCGTCGTTCCTCCAATATGGTACAGCATATATAACACATTTTTTCTTGCAGCTGCTTTTGAATGCCTTCATTAAGATTTTCTGGTAATTTGCATAGCTTCTTTCTTAGGTTACTAATTTTAATTTTAAATATTTCTTTGTTAAAACTTATCTTTTTGCTGCTGCTCTTTGTAAGGGAATGTTGCCTTGTAGTTTTCAGACTCGCCCATGATTTGTGTAATTATATAAAACATACAAAAAATAAATGGTAATGTTATTAAGGTAAATGTACTAGTAGTTGACATTATAAGAAGAAAAAAAAAACATTATTTAGCCTCAAACCAATGTAGATGAAATTAAATAAAAAATATATGTATATTCAGGTAATCTAATCCTTCCTGAATATTTAACAAATAAATTTTTGGACAATTCTGCTTTCTAAATATTTTTTATAAAATTTACAAAAATTGTTGCAAAAGTGTCAGTAGTTGACACAACAAAATGAAAAAAAATTAGTAGTTGACACATCCAAGGTTTAGTAATTGACACCCAAATATATTTTGATAATTTTATTAAGAATATGTAATTACAGGAGAACTTTAATGTTAGATGTTTCCACATCGACTGAATCTGGAAACTGATACTTTATTCTTTCTCATGAAATGAGTATCTGAGGTTGGGGCATCCTTTTGCGGGTTTTTGAGGATTTGATGAAATGTTATTACGCTCACATCTTTATCATTAATTCGAAAAGAAGTTTTACTGTCATTGTACTGCTACCAGATTCAACCTATGATTCATTATTATCACTTGATGATTCTTCCTTTTTCTTACTTTTTTTTCGTCGCTTTCAGTTTCTGTTTTTTAACAAAGTTTTTTTCTTCTCTTTTCTTTTGTCTATCTTCTGCTCTTTTCTGTTTTTCTTCAAGAAGCTTGATCTTCTTATTTTCTTTATTTTCATGATAAGTTTGCCATTCTTTTGAACTAGCCACAGAAGGAACTTTTTCCACTCTTCTTTTTTTTACTGCGGATACTCTGGGTTCAGGCCAAAACAGTATTCATTTAAAAGGAGAGGGTATAATTTCATTTGATATAGAAGGTGTAGGTAATTCTTCAATTGCTGAAGATGGAACTTGTGATTGTGTTAATGAAGAAGCACAAGTGTCTTGAATAATAGCAATATTGTTATGTTAAAGATTTTTCCTAGTGGGACTAGTGTGACTTTCCAAAACATCTGAAATGTTTCTACCTGGTTCAGCCTCAGATTGGTTTAATAACTCACCTATTTCATACTGTTCTTCGACTGGCTTATCAGGTTTGTTCTCTACGTAAATGTCTTCAACATTAGGGCTGTCTTCAACATTTGGTATGTCCTCAATATAAGTGGCATCTTCAATAATATTATCTTCATCATCTGGTTCTTTCGCACCTTGTTTCGCTTTCAAATTGTTTATTTCTTCTTCTAAAAGACTGTATTTTATGCAAATGTTTTTGTAAAAGTAAAAGAGAAATAAATCTTCATTGTCATTGTTCCATTCTAGGCTTGTATTGAAAAGAGCTAGTTTTTGTTTATCAATATGTTTCTCTATAAAGTTTTTCCCTTGTTTCATTTCCTGCAATTCCTGCATTTTCTTTGAAATGTCTATTTTCTCATTGTGAAACATAATCGCACCAACATCCTAGGGAACTAAGCCACATTTTCGGAAACCATTTTTTAAAATTGATGGTACTTAACCTTTCCTCTAGAACTTTTTTCAAAAGAGGACAGAAGTGAATTTTCCTTAAAACTGGAGAAGCCTTATTCTCAATCCGCCACTGGTGTACTGCATCTTCCCAACCCCCTTTCAAAGAACGAAATACAGCAACATCCATTGGCTGAAGCAAATGTGTTGCATTTGGATGAAGGGCTACCAATATAATACCATGTTCACTGCAAAATCTACTAGTGTGTAATGTTAAATGTTGCTGAAACTGGCTTTCTACATAGAACTTCCTCAATAGCTTTCTCCATAGCTTCTTCTGTATATTGGAACATTTGTCCTTTTATAGGAGGCATATTTTTAACTGAAATTTAAAATTTTTGTTTTAGTAGTTGACATAGTGTCAACTACTAGATAGAGTGGATACATTTACGTGATATTTAAAATATAAGTGTACACATTATATACAATGAAAATAACAATAAAATATTAAGTTTTTACAGTCTCAGTATAAATGGTTAGTAGTTGACACCTATGTCAACTACTAGTATTTTTGTGTATTTGTGAGTTAGTAATTGACACCTAGCCTAATTTTCGTTTTGAGAATAAAACAAACTTAAAACATTAGCAAGATGTTACCTTAATATTCATATAATATATTGCTATATCTAAAACTACAGTCATTCACAATTTAATAAATAAATATTAATTTTTTTAAACTTACCTTCTTAATATTTAGAAAACTTGTTGCCACTTGAAGCTCACACAACACTTTGACAAAAATTTGGTGGGAATTTTCTGTTTCAAAGTTAAATAATTCTACAGTTACAGAGAAGATGTATAAATGACACTAGTTAACTATGATGGTAATAATTACATTAAAAATAATTGGAAAAGCTTATTATTTATGCTTAAGGTGGTATGTCACAATGTTAAAATTTATATACTTTTTAGGTACAGTTATCGTCACTATTTCAAAACCAATCTTCAACTTATGACTATGTACGTAAACTGTAAACTTTCTATTTTAATGATATCTAGTTAAAATTTCCAAAGAAAGCAGTAATTTTTTTATAACTGTACTAATGAATCCATGTCATAACTTACATGGTAACGTGCCTAAAAATTGGTATTGTGTAATAATTTTTGAACTTAGGTACAAAATAACTACTTTAAATGATTAACTATCCAAAAACCTTTATTTTAAGCGGATGTTCGTTATCCATACTGCCGTAATTTTTAAATTAACTGTACCTAAAGATAAAATTACAATTAAAAGCTGCAAACTAGGGATTTTGTTGATGTCACCGTTATAAGTTGGCATTTTGCTAGTGAGAAATTAGTTCCGCTATCACTTAATAGATGTGAAAATAAGTTCACGTGTCATTTTGTAGAAGGCAGCAGTGATGTATTAAATAGCGACAAATGCGTGTTTGCCAAATTTAAGAAAAATCTGCAAAACATTGAAACCTAGTTTTGTGGTTATGCCAATTGTCTATTTGTTGTGCAGTAACCATGGTAATACGAATCACGTGGTTGTGTTTAGCAAAGCGGCCCCTACCAGTTAATATTTTGGCTTCGTTTGACTGTCAATTATCAATCATGATTGCATAACGTCACAGTGTTTTAAA